TAAAAGGTCACGTTGTTCGGAGCTGCCGTGCGGCCGCTCTTCATCAAGATTGAACCGTGACAGCGTTGTTGTAGCTCAAAGCACTCAATTAAAGGACCACCCACTACACAGTTTTACGGTTTTACGGACGCTGCCAACATGTCTTGGACGATCAGCTTTCAATGTCAGAGCTCCTTACCCAGTTCTCCACGCTGGTTGGGTCGAGCTAAAGAGCTAAGCAAGAGCTGGACATGTGCACCAAGCTCCAAGTGCCTCTTGAGAGGATATTTATGTATTCTCAATATACATACATTAGATGTGTCCATCAACAACCTCAAAACATGTCTTCATTGAGTAGTGGGCTGGCAAGTTAGCTGGCAACTCCCTACCACCCTCCCTGCCCCAAAGAGAATCTGGTGCCACAGGTGCTCATTGGCCCTTGGGGCTCCACCTCCTCGCGCAATCCACCACCACGAGCTCCTCGCGCGGTCTGCGACGCAGCACGCGCGGTCCGCGCCCGGTCTGCGACGCAGTGACCTGGGCCACGGCGCAGAGCTGCTGTGTGGCGGGAAGCCAGTGGCACCGAGCTGTCGCGTTGCTGGCGGGGGGGAGTGCGTTGGGCGGTGGCGTTGCGGCGTGGCGTGGCAAGTGTTCTGTTTGGGCAAGACGAAGAGGAAGTCACTCTCAAGAGCTTCGCCTATACTGCTTGCTTTTATACACGTGATACACGTGCAAGCATTCTCACGAACCCCCCTTCAACACTTGGCACACCGAAAAATGACACATCAATAAGACCCGTTCATCTACCACCGTTTCCACGGTGCCTTCTACACTGTGGAGCACCGCACCGCACCGCCGTTGGGACTGCGAGGACTCCATGGAGCAGCTTCGCTGGAACTTCGCTGCGACCAACTTCCAGGTGGCCATCAGTGCATGCCACCTGGCGCGTCGAACGAACGGCACCACCCGGGCCGCACGAACGGCACCACCGTTCGGCGCAGCAATGTCCCCACTGAAGAACACACCATGCTCTGAAGGAAGGTTTTGCAGGACTACGAGCTGTGACGCGAATGACGCCATGTCAAAAGTCCGTTCCAACGGAGGTGACGTAAGAGTCGCCGACTGTTCGGTCCTATCCCAGGTCATCGGTACCGGTTTTCCGGGTCCGTTCGTGGAAGGGTCGCTTAGGCTTAACCTCTGTTGGTTTGGGGTTGCACTCTCCCCCCCCTTGGGTTGATCAGCTCTTTTTCACCTCGTCACCGGGTGAGAAGCCAGGAAGGGCTTTCATAGGTCTGACATGGCCAGTTTCAGATCGTTTCAGCTCCGAAAAGAACACCTCCTAAGGTGGGCCATGGCTGTAGCTGGTGGGCAGCTGGTGGGCTCTAAGTACTGGGCACAAGAAGGGTAGTCCTGTATCATTCCACGACCTGTTTGGGACTGGCATCGTTGCCTTTCCTTGGTTTTGGGGCGGTTGATGTTTTTGTTGGGTCGAAAGACTGTCCCATAGAGCACTTGGAATTCACACAGTAATTTATTGTTCAAGCATTTTAACAGCATCATACTGTCCTCATTCTCATAGCATATTGTTTTATACAAAATGTTAACTTTTATAAATAAATATATTAACGTATTTGCTGTGTGACCAGTGCGATGTTAGTGTTCCTTAAATGGATTAAAGTGAAACCTCCGTCCCTGCTCTTCGCCCCGGTCCGCTCGGCCCAACGAGGCGATGCTGCCGGGGCGGCAGACTTGGCACGGCAGCTGCTGAGGCGTTGGCCGTGTTGGAGCTTGGAAGGCTTCAATAGCGCCTGGGTGTTGCTTTTGGATGATTTATTTATGGCCTGGGTAAATCCCAAATGTTTTCCAGAACTGGGTATATGAATCCCTTTCCTTGTAAATACCATGATTTTGGCTTAGGAATCCCCTTCCATCCCCCAACTGGGAATATGCTTTATTTGTGTTCACGCTTCCAGCAAAGCCAAGGTGCGGTGAGTGCTCAGAGGGGCATCTACTGGCAGCAGGTGCTGTTGGTGTCGACCTTGAGTGCGCGGGCAGGGCGAGGTTTGTTGGGCGTTGGTTTGTGCACGCGGGCACATGTTTTTTTTCTTGTTTTGTGGTATTGTTCGGTGGTATTGGATGGTGGGGGTGGTAAGAGGTTCATCACTGATCTGCAGGAAAGCAAACTGAAAAACCCTCAGAGCCCTTGCGAAAATTGCCGCAGCCAATTTGATTCCAAGGTACTCCTACTACATTTCTTTGTACAAGGATTGGAGGGTGTGAACAATTACACTAGCATAGACCCAGATAGCTAGGCAGAATCCCACGACCTGTTGACATGCGACTGGCTGGAACAAGAATGCGCAGCCAGCTTACGAATAAGTGGTCACCGGAATGAATGGCCACGCGACCGAGATTTGATACGATCCGATCTCCAAGAAAACGATCCGGTCGTCGTCGTTTCCGCTCGAGGCCTTGGAGTTGCTGGACCGGGCTGAAGAGCTACAGTTACTGGGTGGTGGTTTCAGATTTGTTTCTTTTCAACCTTTACTTGGCTTTTTGGTTGTTGATCTGTCTATGTTCAATCTCAACTTGCATAGGATGAATGATTCGTTTACCCTCTGAAATTTTCAAATTGAGTTGACACCGCCAACCAGGTTACAGCTGGATTTGATCACCTACAGCGCTGCCATCAGCGTGACTCGGTGAAGACGAGTCGCGAGTTGCGAGCTGCTGAGCTGCTGAGCACGGGTGGATTCTGACAGAACAGGCCCCAGGCCTTTTGGTGGGCTACCCACACAACGCCCCACTAAGGATCAAAAGGATCCAAATTCATTGGTTGAACGTACTTTGCGTGGCATCGGAGGCACAATGCTTCTTCGGAAGGCTGTTGGCTGTTGCACAATGATCCATTTAGCAAGAGCAGTCGTGAATTTCAGGAAGTTGGCTACAACCTGCAAAAGCAATATGTATAGGCCCCTCTAAAAAGCGATACTGATACTGTAACCTTGTCACCGCAGTTTTGGGGTATAGCCAGCATATTATGTCAGCATGATTCAGTGTTGAAATTGTGGCTGGGCTCTGAAATAGCGATGGGGCCCCTTCAAAAGCCATAACTCTCCGTGAACAAGACCTTTTGGCAGATGCTCATATATGGCTTGTTGTTGTTGTTGCTGCTGTTGTTGTTGACCCCCATTGGTTGAACGATGTCATTCCCCAGGTACAGTGAATAACCTCCAGTGGACTCGGGAACCGGTGGAAGATGCCCCACCAAGCTCCGCTCCAAGGCATGCCAGCGCCACTGGCACTGTGGGTTGGAGCTTCTGGGCCGCCTGCAACGTGAAGGGCTAACGGCAAACGCGGTGGTGTGGACTACGTGTTTGCGTGCATGTGCCGCTTTGCCTACACCGCGGGTGAGGGTGGTCTGAGAAAAAAACAGACACAGCTTGCACGGAAAATGCAGAAACCAAAACAACGAGCTCGATCTACAGTTTCCGACACACAAAATGGGGGCCGTTGTGAGGCTCCCAGTGGTCAAAGAGCCACCTGTACCCATGCAAGCCCTCCTAAGAGGTCTTTAGTTGAAGGGTTGTTGGGCAGGTGACCTGGCAGTGAAGGTCCTGCTGTTTTTTAGGTATTTCAATGGTATTTCATTTGCTGAAGATAATATTAACCAACTGAATCAGATGAACTAACCATTTTAGGCAGTTCAATTGCTGTTAGACCATAGTAAGACCATTTGCTGTTATACAATTGTTTTTTTGTTTCTAGCCATTTTAGATCATTTTAGATGGATCGAGCGAGAAGCGGTATATTTCACCGTGCCCGGATCTTGGAGACTGTGAATTCCCTCACATGGAGTGTACCTTAAACACAGAGCTTCCAGGGTGTACCCTATAAGCTCTTGGAATACAGTAGTTGTTTTGGAATATGTTATACCTTACGAACCCGAAGACTTGTTTGATATTCTGTTTTGCTCAGAATAGGCGGGTTTTGCTTCGTTTTCACCAGAAGGGCAGAACTTGTTTGGACTCTTTTGATGCAATTAATCCCAAAGAGCATCACTGGGGGGAGGAGGATCACCCAACAGAAGCAGATCTTTTGAGCATGTTTGAGCCAACTGGAGTGGCCATGATGGCATCCCGCATCATGGCCTGCAGCCTGCGGAGTTTATGGATTCGGTCTTGAAGCTTACTCTCCCGCAAACTAACATGGAACCTGAGAATTGATCAGTGGAAGACCATTTTCCTCTACCTGTCTACCAGCTATGCCATATGGGTTTGTATTTTTTTGACGTGTACTTCTTGATGTATTGGTGGGAAGTTCGACTTGAGCGATTCATACCCCCGAATCATACCCCGAATCATACCCCCGAATCATACCCCTCAAAATGTAGGTGTAAGAACAAGATGTTAGGGGGAAGTTCTTGACAGGTTGTGTCCATTACAAATTACAATTGTGGTTTTCTGCAAGCCACCAAGTAGCAGGGTGGCTCTCCAAGCAGTAACAACTGCAGATGAAAAGAGAAGCAAAAAACAACTCCCAGCGCCTAGCGAATAATACCTGGCTTGTGGGTCCACCCTGTTTCAGATTGCTCGGAAGCTGGGCCCCTTCACACGACCTCCAGGCGTGACCGGTTGCAAGCTTGTCATGCACAGGCAATTCTTTGGCCCAAAATGTCTGTTTTCTTGTCGGAAGAGCAAAGGCTCACATCCCAGGGGTACCAGAACTCCCATGTGCTCTCCCTTGGGAAGAAGAACCAGAGGATCGCCACTCGTTCTTCAGAAGAAGCAGCGAAGGAGCTGTTGGACCTTTGCCAAAAGAACGGTGGCAGCTTTGAAGAGCTGAAGTCTTTGCGCAGGCTTCGCAAAGCCAAGGACTGCGAGGGAATGCCTAATCCAAATCCAAGCACGCAAGATGGAAGAGTGAGGTGTAAACATTAATCCAATCCCATGACTCAAGACTCAATGGAAATCCTTGTTGAACTTGCATGTGCTGCTTGTTGTCATCCTTGGGATCGACCCTTTTGGTAGGAAAAGTCAGAGAGCAAGGCCGTGAATGTAGCGGACCTGTTTGAGCAAGCAACTGGTCCGACTGAGATGGGCAGTCATGCGCCGACTGAGATGGGCAGTCACGCGCCAAGCATGCCGCCGACCGAATCGGGAAGCTGTGAGCTCGCACCACCGGCGACGGACATCATTTGACCAAATTGCGTGCGTGTTTGAACGAGTATACCCGAATGAATCGTTTCTAGTATCATTTCTTTATCGTTTCTGAAGTGTTAAAGCTCGCCCAGAAGCCCACAAAGCTGCGACCTTATGCTCCCCAGCAGGACTCTACAGTCGCCCCTTCAGCGCCTGCTGCAGAGCATTGCGAAGTTGATGTTCCTCTGGCGAAGTCTGATGCTTCTCCACCTTTGGCGGACGTGGGTTGAAGAAAGATTGCATTAATGGCAGGGCTGCTACTAGTACTACCACTACTGCGGCTAACTAACTAACTGACTGCCTGCCTGCCTGACTGACTGACTGACTGACTGACTGACTACTGACTGACTCATCACCGCTCTACCGCTACTGCGCGACGATCCCTGGCAAGGAGCCTGCAGTCCAGCAGCCTCAGGCGTCTCCATCACCACCCTTGGAACATGTGCCCTTGGCTGTGGAGACCCCAGAGAAGAAACCAGAGACTGCTGTGGAAGTTCGCACACCGCCCAAAGATAAGGCCTGGCAATGGCCCAAGTTGCCCTTTTTGAGCCAATGTCCCCAACCTTGTTAAGTTAGTGTTTGCCTGTTTGCCATTGGTCGCGCTATCCCTGTTGAAAGCTTGCACAGGTTAAGGGCCACACGACCTTGGAGTACAAGATTTGGGGCAGTCCTTGCAAAAAGCACAAAATCTCGACGGGCAATGACTCAGCGAAGCAAGGCAATCCGGAAGGTTTGTTGTTTGAGAAGTGCGGCAGCCACCACTTTCACACTGTGCGGCGGCAACATTCTCAGAGAGAGGCCCACGAAGAGAAACTCCCCAAGGATGCGTTGCTTGTCCAATTGGATTTTATGGAGAACATGAGCTGGCCACTGGGGCCTGAGGAGGCCCAAGACTGGTTCTGGGCAACCTCCAGAGAGGCCATGACAACATTGGGCTTTTATGTTTGTGTCTGGAGGGGCAACGTACTTTGCAAAGAAAATTACCATTACATTTCTCAGATAATTAACCACGACTCAGCATATGCTTGCCAATGCCTGTGCCTTGGGTAAAGAAAGATAGCTATGATTTTTCTACTTATGTGACATTTGGTCCCAGTAGGCTCGCTGAACTGTTTTGAATGAGACTGGCTGGCAACCAGGAACGACTTGCTACGGACATTGCCCACTGATGGGGTCAGAGAGTTCCATTGTTGGGCGGACTGCGGCCCTCATTTTAGAAGTTACGAGTTTGTTTGGAACTTGGTTGCTCAATGCCAGAGTGTTTTCCCAAAAGTCTATCTCCACTTCTTTGCGGAACATCATGGGAAAGGCAGGTGTGATGGTGCTTTTGGCTTGCAACGGCGATGGGTCGCTGATTATGCCCAGACTTGCACCATTGACTCCCTGGATGGCATGCGACAGGCTCTGGAGGCTGGGGCTGCTGCCACCATGGCTTTGCACCCCCCGCCCCAAGGGCCAGCTTACAAAGTGAAAGTCTTCGAGCCTGAGGCAAAGCAATACTGCAAGAAACTTGATCTGTCAGGCCTCGATCTTCAGATCGAATACACCTACTGCATCATGCTTGAGCGTGCGTCCTGAGGGCATGCGCGGGTCTTTAACTACGTTTTCTCTGACAGGCCAAGCTGTGGAAAAAAAGGAATTCTAGTGGGGAGGGCTGAGTGCACATCGGTGAAATGCACAGACGATTGGCGCAGGTCCTTCCGAGCCCAGCAGCCAGAAAAAACACCATTGAACATATCTCTCTTGCAGCGCCGGTGGGCCAAATGCAGAGGGAGAAGCAATCAGTCGCCGGGACCCTTGGTTGGTTGCACTACGACGAAAAGAGAAAAGGTGGGCTCATAACAAGAGGAAATACTAACAGCAAAAACGAGTGCTGGCAGTAAACCTCCAAGAGGATTCAGCCAGTTCCCAGCAGACCGATAGTTCCAGCTGCTCTGCGTGAAAAAAAATGGCCAGTGGAGGTGTGCCTGGTAAGAGTGGCGGTTTACCAGTCATCGCCCTGAGTGGCAACGCTACCTGTGCCTTGACGTGGGGGTGCCTCCATTTACAGTAAGCAGGTTGGGCTACATTATGCTGAAACTACTGTTTTGTACTTGGGGGGTGTGCTGCAGAGGGCCGCTGGTGTGCAAACCACTGTAGTCAAAAGGGTCCTGCCTTTGGGTGGGGTCTTGGTAGAAGAGTTCATTGCCTAGTCTGCCCAGCAACTAACAGATACTGTTTGTCTACTGCCTCATGGCGCAGATGTGGGCCCACTGCTGGAAGCCCAGCGAAGCCAACAATACAATTCCAAAGCCGCGAATCATACCCCCGAATCATACCCTCGAATCATACCCCGAATCATACCCTCGAATCATACCCCCTACTCAAACTTCCCGGCCCGACTACGGTAAAAAAATACACACCCATATGGCTCAACTGTTGGAGTATACCTGAGGTCTTGGGTGAGCAATGGCAGGCTGCCCTGGATCTGTTCGAGCAGATGCAGAGCCAGGCAGTCTGCCAGTGATTTTTGGATTTTGTGGAGAGGACTTTGGCATACTACACATTTCCGAAGCTTTGCCATAGGTAGCGTTGTTTGGTACTCACTCTATATGAAGTCGAAGGCTTTGTGTGGGGCAGTGCACGTCCGAGATTTCGACCGGGACTGGCATCATGTCCCAAATGCCTCCAACCATCGTGCCAAAGCTTGGCCGACATTCACCACCCAAAACCACTAGTCATGTAGGCCAATTCCCAGCAGACAACTCTAGACTGTGTTTCAACGAGGTTTTGTAGACTGCTCCAAACGATTTGGAAATGGTGAACAAACACCAGCGAATACTGGTTTTGGTCCTCCTTTTTGTGGTACCGTCTATATACATGTCGATACCCGGCAGAACCTGGTCCGGTCCACGCGCAGTTTCGACCGAAGCCACCCGCAGAAGCAGCTGACCTTGTTGGCGTTCTGCGACCTTTTCTCAGCGCTGGCCGAGCGTTCCTCTGTTCTGGCCGCCACGCTGGCAGAACCCTGCTGAAACAGCCGGCGGTACGGATCGGTCGGGGTGGGTCGGGGATAGGATTGTTGGTGTCAGCAAACCACAGGTTGTTTGTTCTGTGATCCTTCACCTTCCCTCTTTGTTCATTGGATTTCTTTTGAACCTGACAGTGATACTCAGTAGTGCCTCTTAAGAAACGCCGCTGAACTCTTGGCGAAGCCTTTCAGAGCCGATTGCCGGGCTTTCAACGCGCTGGATGGGCACTCGGAAAGCCTAAGCCGGCGACGGCCACACCGGTGTTTGTGGCTTAAGCCCCAATCCCGACCCAAATCTCTCAGTCTATCCGGGCCCATCCAGTGTGATGACCTGCCCAACCTCTTGTTCAAACATTGGGCACACCCCACTCATGATTAGGTTTTTAGATCTATATGGGGTGTTTTTTCTCCCTATGGGTGACACGCTCAGTCCACCGGCGAGACCGAGGCACCCGGCGATTCCGACCCGTGGGTTCGGAATCCAGACCAGTCAGCGGCCAGATCAGGGTCTTCCTATTAAAAGTTCACATGGCACGTACCTAGCACTTCCAATGGGTGCCCAATGGAGACCTATAGTAGGTAGGGTAGGGTTGTCCATTGGTGACCCGTTGGAAGCACCTGGTTTACATGATTTCATGGGTTCCTGACATGTTTCTTGGAGGGGCTTCCAGAGATGATGCATCCAACGAGTTCGACGCAAGTAGGTTGATTTGCCATGAGGAAAACATAAGTTTTGGGTTTGGTTTGTTGGGACCATCATTGGCCTTGGTTGGCTGGTGAATGGAGGGGATGGTCGTGTGCAAGCAAGATGAATCTGTGCCAATGCTAAGGAGCAGACGGAGCTTTGGCTTTTGCTTCAGCTGAGGACTGGAAATTGTTCAAGGAATAGCAAGGATTTTCTGAAGGGGTGCCTATTGGAGGATAGGGGTGCCCACTATCCACTTACAAAAAAACCCAAACATCCTTCATGAAGGGAATGGAGGATATTCACTACTGGAAGTGTACTTAGCGACTTAGCCGGCGGAGTCTGAGCTCGATACCGTTGGCACGTTGTCCTGCCAGATGCCACACACACCAACTCCATGGTGTCATGTGTTGCGAAGGGTTGGTGTTCGGTGACTCGGGAGGACCGCTATAGCACCCACCCAGACACTCACTGTATCCTATAGGGCTCCAGTCGTACCGTATCGTTTCGGTTCGGTGGGACGACCGGGGCCCGGGTGCCAGGCTCGGGTCTCATACCGAACCTGAGGAGGCACAACTGGAGACCTAGGGGGTATGCAATATTACCTCAGACCCTATGGATCCACATACCTTCTCAGAAGGTACTTGGACCCTCCAAGCCCACATAAATAGTCTCCAAATACCTTCTGAGGGAGAGGTCAGGGATCGATGTTGGCATATTCAATCCCTATAGATCCACGGATCCACTGTACCGACCCAGGTTCGGTACGACTGGACCCGACTGGCACCGGCCAATAACAGTGGGCCTCAGAGGATATTGTGGATCCCTATAGGGAATTCTATAGTGTTATTCTACACCCAAACACTCCATGTATGCCAGATATGCCTACATTGGGGTGGTTTGAGGGGTCAATGTAGGCATATATATGGCATACATGGAGTGTCTGGGACATATATGTTCGGCATGTGGCGCTTGTACATGGGCACCTCATGCGATGGATTTCCAAATGCAGGAGAGCTACACGCGACGGAAGACATTGAAACCGGCGGCAGAACTGCTGGGGGCGCTCGTGAGTCGGGGCGTTGGAACCTGCGACGGGGGACACCGCGGGTGGAAAAGAGCTCAAGCAAGTTTGGAGACGTGGAGGTGTGTTCTTTTCTTTTTTTGGAGGTGTGTTTTGGCATCTGCCGGTTGTTTAGTAACAAGTTACGGCCACGAACAAGGATTGGTGAAAAGCTGTGAACATTGAAGACTCTTCGGGTTCAATTTGCCACTGGGGTGTGGGAAAAAGGTTGTTTGTTTTTTTTTTTGTGTGTGTGTTGGTGTTTTTTGCATACCAATGATTGTCACTCCCGCAGTTTGTCACTCGTGAACGGCCTCTGTTCGGACCGCTGATCGCACCGCGGTCCGGAAGCATCGGCGATGGAGAAAAGCATCGCGGGAAAATGGACATCGAGCGACTCAAAGTCGCGACCAGGAGACCAAGATCCACATGTCTTCTTCGCTCATTTGAGTTCAACACATCCTAGAAAGTGTCGCAGCTGAGAATGAGTGTCGGATCAGGTCGATCTTTCGCAGTATTTCACAGTTTCGGGTTGATAGCCAAATATTATCCGGTGCAACTCCATAACTATTTAATTGCCTCATTGAATTATAGTATATTTACCATCGTTTACAAACTTTCTAACTTTTTTTAATTTCACCGTTACTTAATACTTTAACACCATCTTTCTCATCATAATTATTACTATTACCATTTTTATTTTTTCACCGGCCAGTTCTGAAGTAGCAACTGATGCCAGGGTCATGGAAAGATAGCTGCAGCGATCACAGATATCGTTGTTTGTGTATGACTTCCACTGGAAATCCACTCGAACCCGTCCCTGGGCTCTGGGTCTTGGCACAGCCTGTCGCCACAGCCTGCCTCAGGAGGATCGGTGACTTGGGGAGGCAACAGCAATGGCCCAGGCGCTCCGATTGGAGTCGAGTGGAGTCCAAACATCCCCAGCCGCGTCCCAGCCATTGACCGCTTTAGGACCCAGAACATCCCGGGCCTGTGGAACCCTGAAGCATCATGAGATCCAGTTGGACCGGTTCGTGTTGAAGTCAGCGGACAACTGGTTTGATTAGAGCGGACAACTGGTTTGATTAGAGCATGCAAAAAACATGAAGGGCTCCATGCAAACATCGCAGATTCATGTAAAAAAAAACCAACGAGGCTCCAACGGGAACTGGTGAAATTCTGTGATGTGTTGTTGTTTCATGCCCAAAGGCTCATTGGACCCTCATAGCTAGGGTTTTGATCCTTACAGTCAGGGTTTTGGACCTCAAACATGTCTGCGCAGTTATTCTTCCAGTGGTCTGGGGATGTTCGCTGTTTGACAGCTCCATCCTTTTCCCCTTCCAGGGCGCTGGAGCTCTTCCGCGAGACATGTCAAGAGGATTGGAGCAACACCATCAGCTGCAACGCAGCCGCCTGGACCGTGGGGCCAGGTTGGATGTGGATTCGAGGGAGACTGCCCCCCTAAGTTGGACCCTCAGTCGGACGGAGAAACAGAAGAGACCAACTTAGGGAAATGGGCCAACTTACCCTAGGGATCCAAGTGCCTTCTCAGAAGGTGTTTGGGGTGGGTTTGGAGGGTCCAAGTGCCTTCTGAGAAGGTACTTGGATCCCTAGGGTTAGGACCCTCCTAAGAACCGTTGGACCCCCTACGACCCAGCGAAATGGACCCGTCGACCCAGCGAACGGTTTTTTTTCTGTCGGAGACTTCCTCCCAGTGAAACAAGCCGAACGTGGGGGACTTCTCCAGCTTCCCCCAGACTGGGTGAAGCTGAATGGCTAGTGAGTGAAATGATCACTGAGTTCCATTGAATTCCCAATTTTGGGGGCTCCAAGGAGTTCCTTTTTTATTGGAGTGGTCTCTTCTTCAGAAGCGACGAACAAACAACTTCAAAGGGCTCCAAGTACCTCCTCAGAAGGTATTTGGACCCTCCAAACCCACACCAAGCACATTCTTAGAAGGTGCTTGGAGGCTCAGGGCTTGTTTGCTTGATATTGCTTCGGGTTCATTTCATGGTCCCTATGCGTGAACCCCCCGCAAATGGGGGAATATATTTGTTCCCGATGTCTGGACAGATTTGGACAGCAAATCCAAATATGGTGCATGTTCGAGTTTATGCCATCTTTGAGGTGCTAAAATCGCCAGAGCCAAGAAAGACACACGTTTTCTGAGGTCATCAATGCTTTGGCCAAGAGCTCTCAATGGCAACGCGCTTCTGGGACGACGAACCAAACACGTTCCAGATTGTTGCAGTGTGATTGAGTTGAGTATTTCCGGTGATTTTGGTGGGGGAGGAGGGGGGACCTTGGTTGAGTATTCCCCATGTCCACGCTATGGGACTGGCGAAGGATGTAGGCCCATTTGAGCCCAGAATAGGCAAGGAAGAATGTAGGTCAGATCATGTTATAGACATGCCACTCCCATGGAGTGTGTGGAATTGCTTGATTTGCGGTTCGTGTGTTCTTTTTGGGGTCGAGTCAAGTCTGAACAGTTGGATTTGGGCATCAACTGGTGGTTCTTGAAAGTGCAGTCTTGCTATTTGTCTTGATAGAACGGATTTCCGATAGTCCTTTCATTCTTTGCACTGTAGCGGGGGCATCATAAATACTAATTTAGATTGTCGTGTCTGTCCAATTAACTGTAACAGTCATTTAAAGTGTTTGCTGTTTAACTCTATATTAGTAATAGACAGGTTCAGACTTTAGACGTTGCATTTTCTGGCACGACGGAAGCTGTGAAACACGGTTTTCACTATCCAAATCTTTGGCGTGTCCATTCATGGCCCTGGCCTTGTACTCCTCAGCTCCGCCAATGCCCTGGCTTTATTACTCTTTGTTTGGAAACCTGGCTTTGCTTAAGGTGATGTGTGTTTTCCCTGTCGATGAATCCCCTGCAGATTTCTTATTTTCCCGGTTCCTGAAGCCAATCCAAGGAAATCCGAGTGACGAGTTTCCTTGGAAGGGTCACCTCTTGTTGACCATCATCACAGGGGCAAATGAGTTCACACTGCTACCAACTACTCAGTTCCTTTTTTTGCCCTTGAGCCCTTGAGCTTTCAACACTCACGGCCCGGATGATATCTCCAAACCTCCAGACTTCGATCAGCTGCCGAATCCAAGCTGGAGACCAGGCGTGAATTTGAAAGTGAAAGTTGGCTTTCAACCCCAAACCTCCATGGTGGTGCAAAGATGGCCCACAGGTACCACTAACAAACATCGGTCATGCAGGCCACATTGAGATACCAGCACCAAAGGATCACCGATGGAAGACCCTCATGGATCTCCATTGGACACCCCTATTCGAAGGTCTAGGTACATAACGGTTCCGTATGGCCCACAGCGGTTCCACCGAGGCCCTGTCCTTTCTGCAGCGGACGCTGCAGCCGGACGTCGTCAGCTACAGTACCGCCGCAAACCCCAGCGTCGGCTCACGTCACCACCGCAATTTCGATGTCGGGAGCGAACGCTGAGAGGAATCGGATCATTGGCAGGATACCAGTTGATATCCCTGTAACAATCCACGAAAAGATACGAACATGTGCCGATCAGTTGGTGTGATGTTTACCTGTTTCAAGGGTTAATGTAGGTAAATAGTCATTAAACGGATGGTATAACCAGTCAGTGAGTGGATACCTTCAACATCCTTCGTTCTTGTTGGAGGATAGCTTTCCCGACTAAATATATGTTGCAGGTGGAAGAATGTTAATCTCACATAATCTCTAAACAAATCTTGCAGGAACACAGGGAGGAAAAGCCACGCATCAGTTCTTTTGGGTATATGACCCCGGAGTCTGACGATTCAGATTACTCCGATGAGAAAGTTGATGAGGTGATACGTCATCCAAATAGAGAGAAAAAGGAAATACGTGGCACGGCCGTCCCGCTATATTTTTTTGGATTTGCGCCAACATGTTTCCCCCCCAGTGTAGATACAACCCCTTACCGCGTCCGATTTGAGGTCTGTTGCAGTGGGCATAAAGCTAGTATGACATTATTATGAGCTCTCTTTTGCTTGTGCCCTTAGTACCCTAAGGCGCCGCAAATTGAGAATATCAGTTTATTGAATGCCGAGTTGGAAAGTGTTCAAAGTCGCAGTATGCTGCTGGTGCTCTCAAATAGAGCCCATGACCTGTAAGGATGCGCGCTATTGATTTGCCGCAACAAACATCCTCGCCCTGCCCTGTGTCCAAGCTGCTTTCCATGCCGCGAGCCACACCCGAGGTGATGAGTGCCATGGAGCGGGCGAGTGTCGCTTGGACTTGTGTCGCTCGTGGGGCAACTGCGGGGCTCATCCGCACCACAACCTGGAGACAAACCGTTTTGTACCTGGGAAAATGGGTACAAGATGGTACAAGCTATATTATAATTATTATACCTGTTTGATGTTCGGGTCATGTCTCATTTTCCAAGGTACTTGAAGTCACAGTCGGGTCCAGGAAGAGTTTTTACCATTATAGGTGGGCGATAAAGGCCTAAAGAATGTGGCATGCGAATGCATGACCACTTCAAGTCACAACCTTGGGGGTGAGTTCGGAACACCCTGTTTCGAGTGCCTCCAAAAAATGGGAAACCTAACATCGTTCCCAACACATGACTGTGGGTCAAAACCCCCCCAACCCTGCTTGACCGCGGATCAAATGAACAGATTCCCCTAAGAGGGACGTCAACCCAGGGTTTGGGGCTCGATCTCTTTTGGACCCACAGCCACATCACCTATAGGTTAAGTAAGCCATGACCCATCAGACTGATGGGTGTGGGTCATGGCCCGACCCCAGGAGTTTGGGGCGCCGTTTGTTGCTGTTTTTGACGCACAGAAATGGCTGGCTCGATCTTCCAGGAATGTTGATGTTTTCGTTGGCTGGCTGGCTGGTTGGTTGGTTGGGTGGGTGGGTGGTTTCAACGGTCCGCAGTAAGGAATGGCTGATTGCGTTTCAATGCCTCTCGGAGATGGAACGACAGGAGGCCTGGAGCTCTTCAGATCCCCTGGCATTTGCATATCCTACACGGTTTTGGTGTGTTGGAGCTGGAGGGCCAAAAGAAGATCTATAGGTTTGCGGGGGGGCATGTGGTAGGTGCAGATGTTCTATGAACATCCATTAACTACAGTGACAGTGACTGATAGGAGTTGTAGTTGTTGTTGTAGTAGTAGTAGTAGTTGTTGTTGTTTTCATTAATTTACTGTATGTTTTTGTTGGGGTTTTCGGGTGCCCAGAACATCTACTTGGTCGAAGGGTCGAAGCAAGCCACCCGACAACATGGAACGACGTCGCGAGGGACGGTTTTTGACGAAAATATGTGTAGCAAAAAACGACGGTTGTGGTAAAAGATGGCGAACTAGGAGGTGCATGGTGGTTTCTTGGCACGAAAGACTGCGAACAGTTTAAACAAATCGATCTACTGACCTGGTCAGAGAGAACTGGATACGAGAGAACACTTGCAAACTGGAAGAGGGGCACAAGGTTCACGTTGGACATGTTTGGACCCAAAGAATGTCACTATCCCTTGGGTCTATCCGAACTGACCTGTAACAGTCAGTAAACACGCAAATCACTATTTTTGAACAAGGCCTGCCACCTAACCATCATCATCCAATATAGATAGACCCGAGTTATCTCCTTGGTGTTGGATGTTCATTTGCATGTGTTGGGTTAAGTTTATGGCATGGTCATGCATGGTCCTTGGAAGGATGAGGGTCAACAGGTGTAAAAGGATGTTTATTGTATGACCTCGTCAGGGGGGGTGTCTATCAACCACCCGAACTGCGTGGTGCTGGATCATATTCTTTTAATTCACACGGTTTGTAGGTTCCATATGGTTCCATAGTTTCAGCTAATGTAGACTGTAGACTCTTGACTAATAACCCCCTCCAATTGAATTAAAACACCTCTTCATAATCAAGAGTCTACATTATGAGACTCTCTCCTCCTACAATTCGAAGGGTTTCGACGCGCCGAACCTGCGACCTCGTCCTGTCGAGATCGGAGGTGCAGCCGAACACGATCAGTTACAACGCGGCATTGAGCGCATGTGAGAAGTCCCAGGCGGCCGGGGGGGGTGGGGAAACCGGAAGGACATTGTCCATCTTCAGCTGCAACACCTGGTGGGGTGAATCCCAAAGTCAAAATGGATCGATGTCCAAAAGAACCAGGCAAAAGGACGACTTTGAAGGAGAAGTCTTCGGTTTTAAGAGCATCTGACGAACAGAATCATTCCAGTCTTGCTGGACCCTCCCCCAGACACTCCATGGAATAATATGCCGCCTCATTGGCACTTTTTCAAGCACCCTAATGAATTTAATGTAGGCAAATGTTCCATACATGGAGTGTTTGGGAACAGATCCAGAGACGTTCCGCTCTTGGAATGCCAATCTCAGCTTGACCTTGTTCTTCACCCGCGGATGAAGGGTAACATGGCTCAGAGTGGCGTCAGAGTGGTGAACACGATGAACTTGCTCAGAGTCGTTTGCATTGCATGGTCCAGATCAATCATCCTTTGGACCATTTTTACACTTTTTTTCCAAACATCTCAGAACTAAACCCAGCGCCGATTGAAGAAGACGTATTTTCCTAGAACTCCACTGCCACCTTCTCAGAAGTTCGTTGACCCTCCTGGCGCCCATCAAAATTCACATGTCTCTTCTCACCAAAAGACGTGGATCCGATTCGGGTGCCAAACCAACAGAGGTTGAAGGACCCGAACTAGCCTATCCCAGTTCGGTACCCCAGTAAGGTCCTAGTTCAGGTCACTTAACCTCTCCCTATGGATCCAAGTACCTCCTCAGAAGGTATTTGGAGACTATTTTTGTGGGTGCCAGGAGGGTCCAGTCGTACCTTCTGAGAAGGTATGTGGATCCATAGGGTCTCTTGGAACCCGCTCGCTCTGAACACCGGGGTGGCACCGCTTGAAAGCCGTGGACGTTCACCACAGGAGTGGTCCTGGGCCCTGCTGCTGATGGTGTCCATGGGAACCGTCGGGATCCAGGCGACCGAGCACCGGTCAGTGGTTCGACGGAACACAAACACAGAATAGAGCGAAGTCGATATGTAATTTGGTTCCTTGCATTGCAAAAGTCAGAGTGGCTGTCAGGGTTTTACCCATTGATTATCATCGATTGGTCCATTTTTTTGAGTTGGGGAATCTAGCTACGTTCGCTAGCAGCTAGTGAATGAGAAGTGTTGGGCATTCTTGGGGAATCTGGCGAAGAAATCTTGGAATTTCTCCGAAATGGTCTAAATTGAGAAGTCGTTTGGATGCAGCCCGACAGCCCGATGCTCACTTCGGCAACCGAGGTGGGGGGAAGGCCGACCTGGGCAGTTCCCAAAGTGCCTGGTATTTTTGGCGTGTTTGATACATACCTAGCACGAAAACAACGGGTGCCCTGTCTGGAGACCTGTAAGTAGGGTGGGGTAGTCTATTGGACACCCAGACAGGATGACCCTGATGAAATGTGTATTTCTTTAGTTTTCAGATGGAGTTTTGGTCCTTCAATGCAACCAGACCTTCCAAGTCGACCCAAATTTCCACGTCGAGGCAGACGTCGTGACGGTGAGCGCGACGTTGAGCGCCCTGGAGAAGGGCAGCCGGTGGAGAGGAGCTCATCGGCTATTAGGAGCGATGCCTTTGCAGGCGGCGTCCTCGGTGTTTCGAGTGCTTCGTGAGTTTGCCATCAGTGCCAAGAACAGCTTGGAATCAGCTTGGCCAAGCCCGGTGTTTCGGATCAACTAAAAATTTACCAGCCCATCAGTGCCACCAGGTGTTCCAAATGATCAACAAGGTTTGGGGACCAAGAACAAGAGGATGGTCCGAGTGCTCATCAACTCAGCGGGTGGGTCGAAGCAAGTGGTTCACAAGTTTCAAGAAATGGACAATTCCAACAAAATTACAATACAATACAATACATATTTCTACACCAGCACCCTCCAACAGGTCACCAATTGAGACCTCTTATAGAGTCTAAAACCCGGTTGGCGACCTATGGAGGGGTGCTGGTACAACCCTTTTTTATTCCAGGACCTTCCATACCTATACCAGGACCCTCCGTTTGAGGTGTTTGTAAATAGCCTCTTGGAGGTGAGTCGAAGTGTCCAAAAAACCATCTGTTGGAAGGTGCTGGTACAGATCCGCCATTGGGCTTCAAGACCTCCAGGGAGACCCCCCATATGCTGAACGCGCGCGCATCATACGGTGGAGGCGTTGCAGCCGGACGTCATTTGCCAGAACGCGGTGTCTTGGTCTCCGACCACTTCGCCGAACGAAGAACGTTTAAGACCCGACGTGATCATCGCCGAGTAAGGGAGGGAGCGTGTTCTACTGGGAGTTACTTTGATTGGTAATGGTTTTTCAGCTCGTGAACTTCTGGTGCTTGACCTTGATCGAATGGTCAATAATTTCTCAGGCTTTCTTGAGGGGCTAGTCTCTGGGAAATTCCAGAACTTCGTTGAATGGGCAGTCAAGACCATGAACATCCAGAGTCGTTTCGCGCAACTCATGTCGACCACCAAGATCGACGTCAACAAAACTCAATCCATGAGGGCATATTTGGCAGGATTGAATCCAGGACAAGGTCTGGATGGCAAACTTTGGGAACTCTGGACTTCTCCAGATTCTTTCCGAGTATTCGAGATGCTCGGTGGCAATGCTCTTGCCTTATTCAAGGCAGTGTTCAGCACATCCAATGTCATTGCTATGACGGGACTTACCGAAGATGACTTCGTCGACTTCGAACCAGAACGCTACTGGGCTTTGACCAAAGACGCATCCCATTGATTGCCGATGACACAGCAATTCCAGACCTTGCATATTATGCAAGGAAGAACATCAACTGGCCTACAGGCGCTGGAAGTGTTTATCTCCGCTTGGAGCAGTTGGTGAAGGTGATTCTTGGCCTCTCAGTCAATCACCCGCATCCATTCCTTGTGGACAAGGAACTCCTTGAGTTCACGCAAAAGTGTTACGTGGATCCTCAGAAAGTGGACTCTGCTTTTAAGAGTCTCAAGATCATTGACCCAGCTCAGGTTGGATTCACAAAGACCTATCCAAGTCAGAAAATGGATTGGCACAGAACAACCGAAAATTTGCTGGCACCCATGGGTACGCAAGCAATTTGCTACGCCAAGGATCTCCACAAGTTCGGTGATTACATTGTTTCGCTATGCTGCAATTCCAGGACACATTGCAGTAAGAATTGTCACGGATTCGATCCGGATTGTCCAATCGGCTGCAACAGGTGCAAGTCAAAAATCCCTCACTGAGAAGGAAAAGGATGAAATTGTCAAATCGATCAAATCTCGATTTGCAGTGAACTTCAAGGTCTACACCCAGGAAGAGTTTGGCAAGACTTCTCAAGATGAAATCTTGGGACAACTCAGCAAGATTTCTGAGGAATCCCATGTCAGTTTGGACAAGGACAGTATTGAGACAGCTGTCTCCAAATTGAAGACGGACCCAAAGCGCTTTTCAAGATTTGGTGGCAAACCTCACAAGCCGCGGTCAAGTACGCAGCAGATGCTGAGATCCAGGCTCAAGAAAAAAGTTTGAACCAGCCCTTGAAGAAGGTCAAGGTTGAGAAGTACGATCTTACTGGAAAAGAAACTGGACGATGACATCCAGTTCCACTCTGCACTTCTGTCTGAGGATGGGGAAGTACCTGATTCCTTGAAAACAAGGATCGAGAACTTTGAAAAGCGATTCAAAGAAGTCCGTGCCAACAACACTTTGGAACGTTATCTCTTCCCCGACCTCGAGGAAGTTGTTGAGCAAGACACTACGGCCTTGATCGAGAAGTTCAAGAAAAGGAACAGCACAGGCGGGCAGTCATATCCCGCTACAGAACCAACAAAAGCGTTGGCCAAGATGTTGAAGCAACAAAGTTTTCCCATGCCTATCATTGACGCTATGCTGCGTTTGGCTCCCAATGACAGCGATGCCGTGGCAGGAGTGACAGGAAAATCTCTTCAGTCACGTATGGCTCTCTCAATCATTGCGAAGATTGAAGACGGTTCGTATTCCTTCAAGGTCAAAAAGAAGGATAGTGGCGATTCCGGAGATGAGACAGATAAGATTCCGGAAATGAAGGATCGGTCGCTGGAATGAGCGATGTGGGAAATCTTTTCAGTTGATCTTGAACAGCATCAGCAACTCGAATTCAACGAGGCTTTCGTCTTCAATGGCTGCAGCCCCTGCCTTGTGGGCTGGGCTGTGGAGAGCTTTTCCCGCTCCCGCTCAGGGATGTTCGGACACCCGTCCTTTGCATCCAGTGAAGAAAAAGGTCTTTCAGAGGTGTCATGAAACAGATTGACCCCTGTATCTATCGACTCTGAGACCACTGTAGCTTTGTGGTTGACGTAGTTCCGTGCCGTTTCTATCCGTCAAACAATGACAAGTCCTTAAAGTCCTCCCTTTGACAATTCTGTTCAATCAAGCAGTGGCTTGTTTGATCTTGAATTATATACCCTAGGGCTCCGAGTACCTTCTAAGAAGGTGGTTGGGGTGGGTTTAGAGGGTCCAGTCATTCCTTATGAGGAGGGCACTTGGAGGTGTAGAGGTTATATATGACCTCCATCCCAGAGAGCTTTTGAGATCCATCAAACCCCAACATTCTGATGAAACCCATCACCCATCACTAGAAGCGAAGCGTCCTCTCTCCTCTTCCCAGACCGGTTCGACCCATCACAGCCCGGTTCGACCCCTTCGACGCCCTCCAGTCTTCGGGCCCCCCTCCAGTCCAGAGGATTTTCTGCGTTTTTGGACCCCCCCCACCCTTCAGCAAAGGGTAGAGGATTTTCTGCGTAAATCACATACATTTTCTGATGATTCAGCATGTCATATTTTTTTTAATCAGATACATCGTGATTATAAATCACTATACATAGTGTTAACTATATATATATATGTATATAAATATAATTTGTGTTTGGGACATCTTCCACTTTTTGATGCTTTGCACCGGTGATGACCGGACAGCGAGGCCATTCGCTCCAGCACGGGCCACCTCGTTTGGTCCAGCGCCTGCGACCTGCTCCGGGCGTTGACCAGGGCATCGCTGCAGCCGAGCAGGTGACTTGGGTGCAAAGAGGTGGGGGACGGGGTGTCGGTGGCACTGCACTGGCACTACATATATATATATATGATTGAGAGGGGAGCGCTGTGAGCGGCACGTTTTTCGATGAAAATGAACATTGTTCAACCTTTTCCATGCGTTTTCTTGAGAATGATTGATGTGTCTGACATTGCCTGGAAGGATCTGCCTGGAAGCGCCCAGATGTTAATCAGTAAGATCGGTCAAGAATCCTACAGTGATTATGAAAAAAGAACCAAAACTGGAATGATAGAATGAATGACTTTACAAGAAACTTAAATGATCACTTTAAACAACATAGAACACTATATGCTGAAGAAAAAATGTAGCAAACAAGGAGAAAATAGAAGACCGCAGGGGCTTATGGAATGCCTATTCATCACCAAGTGGATTTTACAAAACATAAGTGGCACAGGTGGTCGTGATGGATCTTTAACAAGGGATATTATGGATGATTTGTTATTAGTACCTACTAGAAATGTTCATCACAGTGAAAAATACAAACATGTTATAGAAGCATTGGAAAAGTCAGCAGAAATAACCCGTTTGGTTGGACATAGCCTTGCAAGTGCTGTAATAAGATCAATCAAGAACAACCTAATAGATTTGCTACAACAACCTATGCTACCCCTACAATAAAAACACAAAGGAAAGGGGGAAAAAAACCAAAAGACTTGACTACCGCAATCCATCCGATATTGTTTCAACTTTGGATGCTTACGCTGTAACTTCTGATTTGAAAGAACCTAACCCTTTAATGAGCCACAGCTATATCAATTTTGAAGGGAACGGCCTTTGGAACATAAATCCCGGCACCAATATAAGCAATGGATTTAACCCTAATCACTCATTTTGAAAAACACATTTAAACTTAATTAACATATGTAATATTATGGTGGATTACTCCAAGGCAAAAATTTACAGAATACTAAATGACAAAACTGACGATGTCTATATTGGTGCTACTTGTCAGCCATTGAGAGTCAGAATGGCAGGACATAGAAGGGGGCGGAATGGCAAAGATAAGAAACATTACAAATTGTTATCACACAGTCACCCACACATTCAATGCTGGTGGTGGTGAAATCAATATGAATATTGTAAAATCATCTTCTAAACTGACTGGAGCATTCATTACCTTATTTAGAATTCCAAGAAGTGGTGAAGATTTGAACCGATACTTACCTGACAATTATGTATATAAGAGATGGAATTATTTTTACAATCCTATGATCTATGGAAGAATTAATGATACTGGTAATGCTGATACAAATGACTTACAAGGTAAAGGTTTTCAAGATGCCACCCGTAGTTTAAGTTGGCAAATTCAATTAAACAATTCCCAGAAATATCCAGAATTTGAAGTGCAATCATTATCAGAAACCTTTTACTATTTAAGAAGAGCTATACATTACATGAACCCAGATCAAGACAGTTTAAGTTTTTCATATCGTCAATACAGAGAGAACAAATTCATTGTTGGTATGTCATTTGAAAAGATGGCAGATGTCAATTTTACTGGCTATAATTCTAAAATGTCAGGTATTACCAATTTTTAGAGTTAAAGGAGCAGAAGGAGCATTATTAGACCCTAATGAGCAAATCACTGAGGTTTTTTGTCATTTGATTTCAGAGACTGTTCTGGAATTGAGGGAAAGTGGGAGTATTGTATACTTCCAAGGAAATTGAAAATTTAAAATATCCCAGGACATCAAAAATCCAAAATTCCAATCTTCCAAAAATTCCAAAAAAAAAACAAAAGAAAAAAACAACAATTCTGCACAGACCATGGGGGGAAGAGGGGGTGAGGCAAAGTCCTGGCACAATTGTTTTGTTTTTGTTTTTTTTAATTGAAATTTTGGAAATTGCCTTTGGGGGAGGGGGGGGGTTGAGGCAGAATAGGATTCTTTCAGTGGCACAAAAATCAATAGAAACACAATACAAATATAGAAACAAAATACAAACGAAATGAAACAATGCAAAAACGCGCCGCTCAGAGCGCTCCTTTCTGATATGATTATGATTAGATATGATTTATATACGTGGTATGTATAGCTCTAGGGCTTAAACTACTTGGCTTAGTCGGGTTAGTGGTTGATGGAAGGAAGACAGCACGCACCGTACATAGATCACACCCATGGCCCCATGACCATGCGGCGGTGCGTGTCTTTCGTCCGGGTCATGAGACCGGCAGTGGCCGGCGAAAGACTATAGCGCCACAGTGTTTTGTTTTGTTTTTTTTTTCCAAAGCCATGTTTGACGAGCAACAGTGAGCAAGATATATATGATCCATCTAAATTATCATGTGATGTTTACATTAAATATGCTTTGCTGTTCTTTGGCGCTAGAGGGTCACTAGGTGCACGTGGACTCTTTATTGCACGGGGTCCCGTTGTGTTTTTGGTTGCCTTCTATTCGGCTCAGTGTCCCCTGTGGAGAGACAGGCTGGGGGCTGGATAGAGGTAGTCTATTGGGGTCTTGGGTAGTGAAGATCTATAATACCCCTTGTGACTTGTGCTGGCGCAGAAGGGGGGAACTGACATGTGCCAGGGCAGTGGTTCACAGGTCCATGAGTTTTCCTGAACAGGTTCCCTACTCAAGAAAAATGGGATCACCTGAAAAACCTTTGATTGGAGGATTGGTGACACCCCACTCAACATCCCACCGGTGGACAGTTTGGGTACGTGTATTTTCAACCCATTGACCACCCTCCCAAAAACGAACATGGACCCTGAACATGGTTTCCGGGAAGATTGTTAGTTTTCCTTCAGTCAAATCTGGTCTTTTACTTCCTTAAGTATTGGTCTTTGTATGACCATCCCCCAGTAAAATGAGGTCTTTGACTTGTAGGGAATGCTCCGTGCGTCTCTCTAGGGGGGCGTTCCACCAAACCTTCGGCTTGAGGGAATCCGGTGGTCCTCGGCTCTCCATTCTCAACGCAGGGTGAACACGCCGACTTGCCGCTAGACGGTGTTGGTTGGTTGGTGCGGTGGTTTCTACTCGTGTACCTTTGGCAGGTGGGTAGCTCCTGCTTCTTCATTTGACTTGCCAGTTTGTCATTTTCGAAGAGTCCGTTGCGAAAGAGAGAAAGATTGCTTCTACATGTTTGAGCATATATATATATATATACATTCTATGTATTTTACCTGAACCGCTAAAGTTAAAAGCCCCTCAGCAGAGGATCTATCGGATAGGTGTTTTTTCGAGGCCGAAGTTCTCATCCAACATTTGGCTCATGTCTTGGGTTCATGTCTGATAGAAGGTGATCCCAAAGCAGTTCGGTGAATGTCCAGCGCCTCAGTTTGGCTCAGGAACAGCTTCAATGCGGTCATCTCTGCATGCGCTTCAGGCGGCTGAAGAGGGAGTTGACCAGAGATGCTACTTGAGAAGCTAGCAACACTTGGGTTGGAGGTCTTCCATACATTTCCATACATTCATTTCCAGATATTTGGAGGATCCGTGTGTACTCTATTTTTTGAATGGACCTAGTCCTGTGCCACATTGAAACAGAGAAACATGGAACTTTCATTTGGGCTTGCCAACTCAGCGGTGGTTTCCTTGAGGACATGTTACCACCAATGAAGTGGTTTAAGGGAATATCAATCTACAGGAAACCCGTGTTTTCAACCCCAAGACTATGGGTTTGCCGAAGATTTTTCACTCACGCCCATTCCGGCATTCCACCATCTTTGCGAATCCATGTCCTAGTCCCTGTTCAAGCTATTGGGTCTCACGCTTCCGGTTCACCATCCGTTCCATCTATGATGAGACATGAGGAACTCTGCGGCCTACCCAGGAAAGCGGCATGACCTGCAGGGCCTTTGACAACACCTACCCAGGCACTCCAGACAACTGTACAATAAGTTGAAAACATCTTGACATGTTGGGCACAATCTTGCAAGAGAACTCCCCAAAACCCGCAGAACCTGCCAAGAATGGGGGGCACCTGACATCTCGAGAAATGCGAACCCCGGTGGACTTCGTTTCTCGACGGAAGCCGTGCAGAGTGACCTTCCATATGGATCCGTTGTCGTACCTGACCGACCAGGTTCGCTACGACCTGGACCACTGGCTGACACGTAACAGTGTCGGTCTCACATCATTGTACCTGAGGTTCGGTCATTACTTGGATCCCTAGCCCTAGGGATCCAAGTGCCTTCTCAGAAGGCACTTGGACCCTCCACAGCCACCTGAGAAGGTACTTGGATCTCTGGGGTAGGGCTTCTTCGTATTTTCCCGTGCCACAGGCCAGGGGGAAAAAGAATCCAGGAAGGTCTTTCTCTCATGTGACGCTATACCTTCTGACCTTCTGTGACCGAAGCACAGGCGATGAGTGGCAGCTGAGCCTTTGCTTGCTGGAAGAGATGAGAACTTCGGTCGTTGCTGATGCTGTGAGCTTCAGCGCTGCGATGGCAGCCCTGGAAACTTGGGTGTCCGTCACCGGACCGGTCTCGGCAGTGTTTTTGCAGATTGGGTTTATGGGTTTGACCTCCACTTCTTGGACGGATTTTTCCATCCAGGGTATGATGTTTCTCCACATGGTAGAACACACATGCAGCACATGCATGGTAGTTGGATGTTTCTTGGAGACCTACAGCAGGGGAACATGTACACCTGTCAAGTTTTCGCACGACACTGCTGGCAGAGTCCTTGCGTCTTGTTCATATGACGTTCAAGGCGTTGATATGACGGTCCAGAGAGGATCTTGTTATTTTTGTTGCATGTAAGTGCACATGTAAGTTGTGAGTTCCATGTCTTATCCCATGCAACATGATCTTGCACTACACTTGGAGTGCTCATGCTCCAATAATTAACCCTCTCCAAACTCCGGTTCAGTGATGGCTTTGTTCTCAAACCCAGGAAGCGCAGAGTCTGTGGCACGTGGCACTGGCACTGCTCGCTGCGGCCCGGAGTGGTCACGGCGGCCGCATGCGCGGCCGCACGAGGGAAGAGCTGAAGACGTTGGATGCGGTTTGCTTCAACAGCGCGGTGCAGGTCACTCAATGCTTCCGGTGAAAAGGGGTGGTGTTCAAAAGCTGTTTTTTTGAAGCTGATCCTAGAGTGGTGGAAGTGGAGTGCTGAGCTGGAGAGCTGGAAGGGGTGGTGATTTAGCTTGACACAGCGCACTTCATCGTCCAATCAAAACCAACTCTTTGATTGGGATCAGTGGTGTGCAGCATGCTTTGGAGTGATGATTGAGTTTTATTGCATCTCCCAGACACGACCTGTCTGGGACTACCATAGGACTGCCGATTGACCGGCCAGGGGTGGTTGAAGTCCGGGTCTGTCTGGGGCGGCAGTCCGTCCTGGCAGTCCCAGACAGGTCGTGTTTGGGAAAGAGTTTCTTGTTAATCATCATGGGCCAACGTGGATGTCATGGCCCCGGCAAACCGGATCATGAAATTCGAAGACCAAACAAGGAAGAACATCCGTCCGCTTCTATGATCATTTCCACCTGGATTTTGAGTGGAAAACCCATCCTCCAGCCTCCAATCAAACTACTTCAGAGAGTGGTACTCTCCACCCAACCAACTCTCCCAAAACGCGCCGCCGCCTCCAGCGCCGCCTTTATGTGCCGCCTCAAGATGCCAGGTGTGTGCTGCGGCCAGACGCTGGCTGCTTGGCTCCAGTCTGCAAGCGGTCCCCGAGCTCGGTTGGGGGGTGGACCTGGCTGCACTGACCCGTCAAGTCTGCCCCAAGTCGAAGTCATTCAGAGTCCAATGACACCACATCATCACATGAAGTTGGAAATTAGCATCAATTAGCTCATCATGTGAGATGTAATTGCTCGCTCAGACCCAGGAACACTCTCGCTCCACTTTGCATTTCTCACCCATTGACATAACTTAAATGATGTTGCGAGAGATTCCAATGCCGGTGAATCTCAGCGTGATGACCTCTCTAGATGTTGGGTTTCAATGTGCTTGAGCATCTATAAACATCCAATGTTGGGGTATACTCTAGGGATCCACTGCCACCTGCTCAGAAGGGACTTGGACCTCCATGAATCACCTCCGGTAATTCAGTGGATCCACATGGTAACGTGGAGTAAGTTATTTATCTGATCTATAGTTCCATAGATCGAGTTAGTTAGTTCCGTATTTAGTAACTAACTCTTTGATGGAAGAAGAACTATCATGAGCAACGTCACCACCCAAATGAATTGAACGTCATTATTCCTAGCCTCTTCGGTGTGAATACTGTGTGAGTGTGTCGTTCTTCCAGAAACAAAGTGATGCGATGTGTAATCCCTATGGATCCACATACCGAACCTGAGAAGGTGAGGACGGAGACTATTTATGTAGGCGCCAGGAGGGTTCAATTGCCTTCTGAGAAGGTGGCAGTGGATCCATAGGGAATTATATATATATATAGTTATTTTTTACAGGCAGACCTTTGGGCCCTGGCTAGGAAGACGGGTCTTCTTCCCAAACCTTCCAGGGCTTCGTGGCCTGGGCCGGAAGGTCTCTCAAATTTACCCACCCCAGTGGTGTGAGACCTGCATCCGGATATGAGACTCGGCAGCTGTTTTGAGGGCCGAAGCACTCGAACTCTTCGGGGACTTGTCGCAACTGTTTGGGCCAACGAAGCTGGCCTTGGATGCCTGCCTGGATGCTTGTTTGGAGGCAGCTTGGACTGTGGTGACTTTCTTTGGGGGCCTAGGCAGGGATCTACTTCAGCTTCTTTAAGGTCTTTTTAGGATGGTAGAAAAAAATAAGAAACGGAACAGTCAAAAAGCTGCTCATCACTTTGCGAAGCCTCCTCTCCCCCCTTTGCTTCATTTAAGCCTCCCAATTGGATTGTCAGTGGAGGGCCCAGGACAAACAGCTCCTGAAAAGCTTCAACTTTGAGGGTTGATGGTTCGTAGGGTAAGTGACATGTACCAGGACACCCTAAGGGGTGTCTATTGATAGCCCCTTAGAGGTGAAGGGGTGTCCATTAACCACTCCTTGTGGGTCCAAGTAGTATTACTATATAGTCCATATCCCTATGGATCCACATACCGAACCTGAGAAGGTGAGGACGGAGACTATTTATGTAGGCGCCAGGAGGGTCCAATTGCCTTCTGAGAAGGTGGCAGTGGATCCATAGGGCATATGGTTGTTTGGGGTTCGAGTTCAATCTTGCGGGATGCTGTTGGGATACGTAGCTCGAACAAGACTCTTTCTCGCACTGCTAGCAGTTCGGCCGGCCGCAAAAAGGTCTCAGAGAGAAAGGTTTTGCGCCTGGGTCGTTCCAGTCATGACCCCGACAGATCCCGGGTCGTTCCAGTCAGATCGCAACCTTCCGAAGCCGAAGCCGAACGGGTCCTTCGACTCTCAGCGGCACGACCGAACTCGGTGCCGTGAAGAAGCCCATCTACCGAACGCGCAGACACCCTGTCTAGGTGTCCAGTCTGGTGACCTGTCTAAGCAGTGTGGGGTTGTCCAGACAGGTAACCCCTTAAAAGCAGCTAATAGATGGTCCTTGGAGTCCTGGAAGTGTTTTTCAGACATGACCTGTGTAAGGCTGGCATCGTTTGGACGAAGAACATTCGTCCGTTGGGGTGGGTGAAAAGGGGAACAAGGGGCATCAATTGGGGCGGTCAATGTTCCAGTCTTATGGAGCACTTCATCGTTTCTTGACCATCTTCCATGCGACGAGCAAGGTCTGGCCACAGGCCTTCCACCTCCTCGCGACCGCGACGAGTTCCTCGACGAGTTCGTGTGACCCGCATTCACACGTCTCGCGTCACCTGCGGCTAGAAGCTTGGCCTCCAAAGTCTCGGAAAGGACCACAACTACCGAACGCATCTACCCTGTTTGGGTGTCCTGTCCTGGAAAAGCAGTGTGGAGATCTCCAGCCGCTCCAGCTGGTGACCCCGAACGGGCCTGGAAGCAGCTGGGATTGGGCCTAGGCTTTTGGACCAACACATGTCGGTCTGAACGGGGCCCTGTCTGCCACCGGGATGGTAAGGAAGACTTGGTCGACACATCTCGAGTCAAAGTAAGACCCTGAAACCCTAGGGATCCAGTGATACCGAACCTCAGCTTCGGTACGACTGGACCCGACTGGCTGGCACCTACATAACAGTGTCGAACACATCACCGTACCTGAGAAGGTGCTTGGATCCCTAGGGAAAGTTCATCCATTACCGTCATTGAGTCATAGTTATCATTTGTGGTCTACGAAGTATATGCAGACCACAAAATGGCAGACGTGTTTGTGAACCAAGCCCTCCCAAAAGAGAAGCTCTTTGCACGTCATCCCTGTCACACCCTCCTTCATGCTGACAGAATCACTCGCTTTCCTGGAGCCTTACGATCCAAAGAGTGACACTAATTGAGGCCTTGGGCCTTGGGAATGGAGCACAGCCACGGCACCCATGGAACTTGAGTTTTGCCATCATAGTGTCAATTGTTCTTTCAAAGACTTCAAAAGGAACCTTTTGCCGCAACAGGAAAAGCTTTGATGACTTGCGTAGGACACATGGGTTCTTCCTGTAGAGTATTCAGTCCAAGAGCTGTTTGAAATGTTGACACACCTGATCGAGTGCTGACCATTAATGTTCTCCACACCGATGCACAGAAAACACCCATGTCCCCCTAAAGTACAAGTGGCGATTCACACAAAAACCGAGGAGCAAAAAGAACAGCGCGGGTGATACCAACCCTTTTGTGTGAATAAAAACAGCGCGTGTGATACCAACCCTATCCAACCCTTCTGTGTTTGAATATATCCCTTTGTTTCAGGGTAAAGGATGATTTCAGGTTTCGCATATGTGTGTGTGTGTGCGCGCGTGTCTTTGCGTGTGTCTCTGCGTGCGACGAGGAGCTCCAGCCCCAGGACGAGGTGAGCTACGGTCTTCTGTTCAACGCGCTCGAGACGAGCGGAGCTTGGGAGGCAGCAATCCAAGCACCTTGGTGGCGATTCCATCGACCTGGTGTTGTGATCAGAAGGCTTAAGCGGCTTAAGCGGTTTTCACATGCATCCGGAAGGGTTCCAGTAGCTTGCACTTGGTGTGATTCAGGTCGTTTGTTGCTGTTCGGAACGTACCAATTAATTAACTGTTTGTGGGAGGAGGGCCCCTCCCTGAGCTGGGCCCTGCACGGCGCCCCTCTGGTCCGTGCTGTTTGCATTCGTTCCAACCGTCCCAGGCTTTGCATGATCTCACGCGCGAGCAAGTGCGTCCGAACGAGCCTCGGACCGGAAGAGTGAAGTTGGAGGCCTCAAATGGCCAGGCTCGGCTCGGCTCATTGGACGGGTTGATCCTGGTTTTAAGCTTCAGGTGATTTGTTAATATTTTATTTATTCTTTCTTCCCTCCCTAGGGATCCAGTCGTACCTTCTCAGGTAAGGTGATTGGAGAGACTGTTATGTAGGTGCCAGAAGGGCCATGAAGGGTCTGTGGGTGAATCCCCAAACCTGGGGAAATCTGTGTTCATGTTTTGCCGCTTTCTGGAGAGCCGCCCACGCCGGCTCTCATGCGGGTCCTGACCCACGGCGCTTAGAGGATAAGGGACCTTCTACACCCCTGGTAGGCCAGGGTGTAGGAAAAGTGCGGCCGGCATTGCTTGGCGAATCTCAGTAGATACCTGTAGAAACTTGCAGGTTGGGGCCACCATCCATTTCTGGGTCGGACGAGACAGCTTTTAGGCATGCCCGTATTCTGAATCAATCCCATTTGCTGTTCGTAAGTTATGATGTTCCAGGTTTTGCAGAAAGAAGTATTGAGGACGTTTGAAAATAGAGGGATTGTCGTGCGTCACCGTGTTTCTTATGCTGACAGGCCGCCCCCTGTAGTTTGCGACATATTCATCGCAGGTTGGTGATCAGATTCAAAAGAAGAGTACAGTCGGGCTCACTCAAGTCAGCTGGTATTCTTTTGGGTGAGTGAGAGTGAATATAGGAGTACACATCTGACCAAGCAATTGGTCTATAGGCGATGATCCCGAGGATGGCTGAACCGTCGAGAAGATACTGAGGCCATCATGTTTGGCCGCTGCATGAGCTGTGGAGGACACCTCACGCCCAAGCACTGGCTGAACGAGATGCACCTTGGTGCAAAAGAACGTCACCACTGCACAGTCCCTTCCAAAATCAGCTGAGAGATAAGGCACCCTTCCATACCAAACAGTCCCACCAAAAGACCTGAGATACCATCCAAAACCAACTGAGATAGTCAAGACCTCCACCCCTGGATCAAACTGGACCGTCCTCAGTCGGTCGTGGCGGTGAAAACTGCTGGGCGTCGGAGGTATATCTGGTAGATCGGATCAGTCGGTCGTGGCGGGTGTTTCTGGGATGTCAGGGGTGTTGATCGGTGCTTGATTTACTAAGTTGATTGCAGTGCGACATTCGATGTCAAGATGATTTGCCTCTTTAGGGTCTTCCACGCGCAGGCATGAGATATATAAGATGGTATGAACATGCATAAGGCGCAAACCCCTTCCCTTTTGTTGACTCTGACAGTGCATGCAATTAGACCAGTTTTGGATCTTGGATGATCTTGGTCCGCAAAACTTCACCTCAACATGGCGCTGTCTAGTATATAGTTTGATACCAGGACAATCCAATGGGTGTCCTGGCTGGACCACCCTGCACTACTTAGGGATCTCCATTGAACACTCATTGGATGATCCAGATGTTGGATGTTCTTTTTTCTTTCGGCAGAGCATCGTCTATAACGACCCGCCAACAAGTCCTCCTGACCTTAATCAAAGTCAACATAGTAGACGCTGCAAGAAAACTAGCTGTCCATCAAAGCAGATAGGCACAATATGTTCATCAGATGCCCACGCATCATAAGCCTCTAAGTTCTTTTGCTGTCACATGTTGTTTTCGTGTTGCGAAACATGAACATCCATGCATGCATAGGAATGACTTAGCAAGTCTAACATACTCAACTCAGACACTCAAATAGGGACCTTTCTTGTGAACAGGTATTTTCCTCAGCACATGTTCCATGGAACACCTTTCAGGATCCGGCAGGGTGTTGAGCTCCATTGCTTCGCCTATACTGCCTGCATCAAGTCGGCGTCTACTTGGGCAGAAGCCATCCTGCTCTACGAAGATCTTCTGGAAAGATGCTTGGAAGAGGTGAGCTAAGATAGGAGATCCTCCAAGAAAATCCTCCCAGAAACTTCCAAGGAACTTCTGTTCTTCAAACCAACTGATCATTTTTTCAGATTTGGCAGACTGGTGCAAGCTTGTGCCTGAACCGGATAGACTGGTAACTGCGTTTTATTTATGAGGGATTTGTGTCATATATATTGCTTGATACATGTACCCTTCCAAACAACCATACAAACGAATGGTTGCAGAACAACACACAGTGCTTTTGTGTGTGTTTCTTTGGCATTTGTGCCTCCTTCAAAGGACCCATTCTGTTCCAGTGCAATAGCTGCCTGAGAGTTGCAGCTGACAGTAGTGACGGTATACATAGTTGATAATGTTGATAAAGCAATTGTTTTCCGGGACTTTAAGAAGGGCTTTTTGGACGGCTGGAATCAGTTTTTTCACAGCATGCCCCAGCAATCGAAGCAAGTCGTGGGAGACGTGCTCAGGAGACTTGAAACCTGACTTGGTGATCTTCAGCAGCCTGGTGGAAGCGTGCGAGCACCTTGGCAGCGAGCCTGGTGGGTGCGATGAGGAAGAAGTGTTTTCGGGCAACGAGCTCGGCCCCTGAAGCCCTGAAAACCAAGCTAAGCGCAGCGTTCACATTAAGAAGGGATTCTGGGTTGTGGTTTCAATATTGTTTCATGCATCTTTTTGTGTTCCACTTTTACTTGGGATGATGCAATCATATGGAATCCATTGCCCACCGCCTAATAATGTGTTTTCAAGTGTGTCGAAAAACAGCCGCCGGTTTTGGGACATGCGGATCCAACAGCATGGTGATCCAACTTCCGCGGGGCAGTCTGATGGAGCTGAGTCATCTCTAGTCCTCTTCTGTCGGGGTCTCCTACCAAAATGGATCCAAAGACCTTCTATATCATCAGTACCCGAACCCGACTTCAAGTACCTTTGGATAAGCTTGACATGACCCGAACAGTAAAGACGCAATGATGTAGATCTGGCCCTTTTCTGAGGTACGAACGGGTCACCTCAAGGTGATCATTCGGGGTATCATGGGGTGTCTCTGAACCCATGGAGTGGGTCCTTAAGCGTCGCGCTTCTGTCGCCAGGAGGGCTGGCGGGCCTGGTGCGCCTGGCAGGCAGAGCCCTCGCGAGCCGCACTGGGACCCAGGCTGGGCAGCACAGTTGGAGGAGCAGATGGTTTGTGACCTTGCTGAGCTTTCACTGACGGTGACTTGGCTCACCTATTGCTCACCTGGTTGCGTGGTTTTCGGGTGGATTTTTTACTTTCCCGGATGGCGTGAATCCCCTGGCATGGGGGAATATTCGGAATATGTTTGATTGTTTACCGGTTCGTTAAGCAAGTCGAAGCTCAGCTAATACCAGTGATTCGGCGCATGTGTTCGGCTAGAAGCAGATGGGCTGATGCAGAACGTTGGAGGGGGTACAAGAACGGTGGAGGCTAGGAGCATTTTCGTGGTTTTCCATGCAGGAGCCCTAGGGCCTAGGGGAGAAGCAGTGGAAACTAAATGTATAAGCCATGTTGATTCGGTACCATTCAATAGCAGCGTACCATTAAGCGTATTCATGGTGGAAATAGCACGACCATTATGGGGTAGGAAAAGACTGAAATATTGGACGTCCAGGTGGAGTACTGTTCCATTATGTTCCATTTCTAGACTGTTCCATTTCCACAGTCTCCTGTTCCATTTCCACCAATTCTTGGTTTCATTGAGTTGGAGTACCAGGAGTTACATGCGGTCGAGCGCTCGCCGACATCACCGACTCCTCCAGAATTGAGACGCAAGCCTGAAAACTGCCTGAAATACTCATGGGTAGAAGTGGAGTTTTCACCTGACGGTGGGTATTCAGAACACGTCAGAACATGTCGCATCCGAGCCTTCAGGGCCATGCCACCGAGCCTTCAGGGCCATGTCATCGTAACCGAGTCTTGGGGGCCATGCATTTTGGCCATGAGCAGACCATGACCATGACAGACCACTTGGTCAGACCGCCCGGCAGCTGGGTTTGGCCGCCCGGCAGCTGGCTGCCCTTCAAAGTCACCTCACCGATGGAACTGGCATATGTGCTGATCAGGCCAGGGGTGGTTGATTTCAGGGGTCAATGCAGGTAAATCTTCCATACATCTACCAGCACCTGACAGGCGTGACAGGTCTCCAACAGGATAGTGCAATCAGGCCCTGTTGGAGGTCGAAGAAAATTGGTGACCTGGCAGTGAGGGTGCTGGTGGAGTAGTATTTGCCTGTGAGTCAAACAATGGAACAACATCCCGAACAGACACAGAGGAATCTGCTCGTTCCTAGCAAAATCCGCAGTCAACGGTGCCATGACCATCTCCATGGTGACCGAGGAGCGATCAAGGAGCAGATGGTGAACGAGGGGCGATGAGGAAATGAATGTGGCCCTATAGGGATTCAAGTACCGAACCTCAGAACGTACGACTGGACCCTCCAAACCACATAACAGTCTCTCTAATCACCTTTTGAGAAGGTACTTGGATCCCTAGGGATGCACAGCCGAAGAAGACCATCATGCTGATGACCTGGATAAAACGGATAAAAGCACAGACAAGTGGTTTTAGAGTAGATGGCGCAAACCCAAAGATGTCTTTTAGATGGGGGTCCATATATAAATCACCTTTGGGGGATTATCTACTCTGAATCCAATAAGAAAATCTCACCGAAACTAGAAACCATTCAACGCTAAATGAACAGACATGCGTACCACGAACTGAGCAAACATCATTTTCCGGGTTTCAGCCCAGCGGACTGATGGAAAAGCATCCTGAAACGCAAGAAGACCGACCCATGCGTCGATGGAAAAGAGTCAAGGCGCTGTCAGCACTCGTAGCATTGGTTGACCTGGAGAGAAATACTGTAATATCGTCATCCTGCAGATCATATTTCTGGGACAACCAACAAACATAAAAATCCCTGGCGATGGTGCGTTTAGGCTGTTTTATATATTGCAGTTTCCAGGACTCTTCTCAGATTCTTTCTACAGTGGTTTCAGAGTAGATGGCACAGACCCCAAGATTCCTGAACAGGTGGGGGTCCATATAAACCACCAGAGTAGATGGGTCTGTGCCATCTACTCCTCTCAATCCACAGCGTTCTACGATCAGCTTCCACGGACTTGCAACTGCTACTTCTTTCGCTAGGAAACTTCCGCAGCTGTTTCAGCCGACCTTTCGGGTGTTCTTGGTGCCTTGGGCGCTTGAAGAAACCGAAGTCATTCTCAAAAACCACAAGAGCAAAAAAGTGAGTCCAGCAAACTCAGGCCACTTATATAAGCCTGGAATGTACCACTTGGATACCTCTCACTGACTCACTGCAGAGAACAAAGAAAGCACCTGGTCACCCAATGACCCTCGAGATCTTCCGCAGTGTGGTAATCTTCGGCTCAAGAGCGGTGAGACGATCGCAGGGCATCCTTGATCCATCGAGCGAGCTGCGCCTTCAGCGCAGCCCGATCGTGGCCATGGATGAGGTGCGAGTGCTGCCGGATGAGCGTTGAAGCGCATCGGTCAGTGGTCTGCCAGGGCTCGGGTGACTTGACCTAGAAGGTCTGTCGAAGTACTTCCCGGTAGTTGGAGAACCAGGGTGGCATGGAGGCACTAATATACAGATCAGTGGACAGCCTGGAGAAGCTACTTGTGGCATCTATAGTGGCATAGATGAGGCATGGCCGCTGGCCTCAAAATTTGTCATGTTCTTGCAGGGAAAGCCATCAGGACACGGTTTGCTGGTCAATTAGAAGACCTGAGGAATTTTGGAAGATGAAGAACTCCCGGTGCCCAATACCTGGAGTCGACCCCTTCGTCCCTCGGATTTCCATGGGTGCAGTCCTACCATTTTAAGAGGGTCATGTCATGTCTCATGTTTGATATGTTTGAAGGTGCTTGAAGTCTGACATCACCCATGACAAACATATCAAAGAACACATCAAGTACCTGTTATGAAGGTGTTTGAAGGTGCTTGAAGTCGGGCCCAGGTACTTGAACCACCACATCTTCGAGTTGCTGCCGACCGAGCCGAACGGAATCTATTTGCGGTAATAGAGTGGCCACCAATCGCATATCAGGGTCACAAAGGGGTGGTGACCGGGTGGTGTTTAGCCCCTTTTCGTGAGTGGATATTCTGGACACCCCGGACAGCTCTATGGATAGCACCCCGAAGCTCCGTGACTGCTGCTCGAAGCTTCCATGTTCTCAATTCGTGTGTGTTCTCAGAACTCCGAACCCTCTTCTCGGTCCATTTGTCGGTGGAAAACAGGCGACGGCGCGCGCGGCGACGCAGCGGCTACGGCGCAGTTGCGTGCAGATGAAAGAGCTGGATGCCGCCTGGGAATTACTCGAGGCAGCGGACTTCACTCTTGATTAATAGAACCTCCCCCCAAGACATGGGATTGTAACACCTTTTACAAGTTTTGCTGTTTGATGAATCAAGCGTCTACATGAAAATAGGGGAACTAACTGTGCACGATTTTTTTGAGCTTTTGAACAGAGGACCTGGGCGGTGATGTGGTAGATAGATGATAGATAGAATTAGATTCATATGACAATTCCCGTTTGGGCTCCAGTCGTACCGTATCGTTTCGTTTCGGTGGGACGACCGGGGCCCGGGTGCCGACCCGTTGGGTCCAGGAGCTACCGAACCTGAGGTTCGGTACGACTGGAGCAGAAGACCGGTTGTCGCGTTGCGTCGCAGGGCGTCGCGTTGTCGCGTCGCGGCGCGTGGTCCAGGTCCTTTGTGCCAGCCGCCTGCGCTCCAATGCCTTTCACCTGGGCGCGATGTGCGGAGCCTTTGCGCAGTCCAATGCTTGGCGCTTGGCCTTTGGGGCCGTCCAACGGATGGAGACAAGGCCGGAAGAGTCATGAAAACAGTGCTCAAGAAAGATCAGTCTTGGGTGGATGTTGGTTTTCTTGACTAGAAGCTGGAATCTTGATGTCTTGTTGGCCCACAAGCATGCACTAATCATCTTTTGGTATCAACGGTTGTAACCTTCATGTCGGTTCATCCCTCTCAGCCCCAGATCCCCCCCCAAGGCCCATCGGTAACTCTTCCCTGTGGCACCCAAGTCAGTCAAACCTGGATTTCTTGGTAGACAGCCTTGGCTGACAGCCTTGTCGCTCCCGAGTTGAAGGCGGTCGAGTCGCTCGGGTTTTTTTGGGGCAGTTGGAGGCACCAGAAAGAGATCCCATTGATGGAGAAGCAATCAGGCCCTATAGGCCTCCAAGTACCTTTGAGAAGTGTTCGGGGTGGGTTTGGAGGGTCTAAATACCCTTCTGAGGAGGTACTTGGAGGTGTAGGGAGGGGAAGCTGTTGGAAATGACGCAGGACTGGACATGCAGCCCCAAGACAGAATTTTGTTCACAAAGAAACAACAGTAGGCCAGGAGTGAATTTGGGATAGATCATGCTGAATCTTACTTGATAACCTCCTCCATATGTAATATTATATGAAGAGGAGTATGAAGAGGTTTTGTGTGGTTTTGTGCAATCTAAATGGGTCAAATGGGGTGGTTTTATGGATCAAGAGTCTACCTTAGTTTCTTGGACACTGCGAGTTTCCCAATGTAGAGAGCGATCACCATGTGAGAGTCATGTTTCACCGGTTTTTAAAACCCACGGAAGGTGAACAGAATGGACATGAATCAAATATATATATATATATACACAGTAAAAGGAACTGATGACGATACTGAGGTCAATGGTGAAAAAGTATGATACTAGCGGACTCTTGCAGACTTGAGCGCCTGCTTCGCGCTTTGGACTTGTCCACCTGCTTCAGCTTCATCCACCCGACCAGACGTATTTGGAGCTCAACCGTCCCACGACGCCGTTGCGACGGTGCCACGCGGCCGTTGCGCTGGCCCCACAGGACGGTGCCGGTGGACCTGATCGCCTCCAACGCGGCGCTGCATAGCCTGGAGCCCAGGAGTGGTGCGAGCCTGTGGCGTCGAAGCCTGGAAGCAGCCCGCCAAGCGGAGCTGCAGGACTGCAGGACGTGGATGTTGGGTGAATTCCGGGGTGAAAGAGTTGGAGATGGTCTCCAAAAGGCGTGTGAAAGGAAGGTATGTGGAAAAGAACTGGAGATCCTTGAAGATTTGAAGCCGCAGTCTGTTTGGGTGAGGCAGAAGGGCACAGGGTACAAATATCAAGACAGGCATGCAGCTAGGGGCCGCCCTTCATCCCAATCACTCACTTGTTACATTTCCTCACACAGTCCAGGAGCTGAGCGTCCCAAGCTCCAAGCTCCACGCATGCTCGACCGAACGCGACCGAACGCAACAACGATTTTGGTGTTATGTCAGGAGCTCACGGATGAGATTTCGAGCAACTGTTGCCTGGGAAAGAAACTCGATGATCGACCAGCAGTTCCAAAGGGCGTAGTCCACTCACTTGGAGGGTCATCACATCCACACACCTGGGGACGAAAAAGACCTCCCCCTTTGGAACTTTCTGGTAGAAATTTTATGTTATTTTGTCTCCCAAATCAATCCCCAGATGTTTGGGGAATCGTAGCAGCATCTCCATGGGATGTTGGTTTCGGGGTGGAACGTCCCGAATGGTCGGTGGGTGGGCAGTGACCTTCCATACTACCAGAAGTGTTTGGATGGTCGGCCCAGGGCCCAGGGTGTCGATGTGTCTTTCAGCTGCTGAATCCACAAATCCTAAGGTTGCATCAACCACTGTGCCAAAGGTGCGCGAAGGGGAACTTCACGTGGATCACCTTTTTCTTGAAAGCAGAACCACAGCTCTACATAGCTCCCAGACTAGCTCTACATAGCTTGACGTGACCCATCAGACTGGCGTGTTTGACCGATGAATTGGGGACATGTTCAGTGATCATGTAGACTGTAGACTCTTGATGATCGTCTAGTTCAACTAGAGTTCAACCCAGAATGCGGTTCGGTCACTCGTGCCACTGGGTACCCAGCAGCTGGCTTCGGTTGGTTGGCAGATATTTGTTTTTTTGTGGATTGGCTGCCAAACACATGGGGCTGGAAGCCACATCCAACACCCTGCATCTTCAAATGTTGGCGCACAAAAAAAGGGTTCCTGAAAGCGATTCGAACTATTCTATTCCCCTGTGACACCATTCTTGACAAGCGGGTTAGAACGAGATCGACTCCGGGCGAGCAATCGTGGTCCCGCGGGACACCTAATTATGGAAACCAATTCTTTTTTTATGGTTGTAGTCATTTCATGTCATTTGCCTACCAAGCATTGCTATGTTCCACCAAATTAAGTAAAACAACTTTTTGCACAGCATTTAAAGATGGGATCCAGTTCACATCAGTTTCAAAGGTCAGAGCCCCAGGGTTTCCTCATCTTTGGTTCCCCACCGTCACGAAATCGTGGTGTCCACCACTTCCACAAACCTTGGCAGGTGCGCAGTGGCAGAGGTCAATGCAGTTGCTCTTGTCGTGTCTTTGGAGGCTCGAATCCAAATCTCTACCCTATCCCTACAGGTCCAGCCTGACCCAGGTCCAAACCTGGTCCTGAAAGCCTGATTGAGCAGTTTATTTTTGTAATGAGAACCCCCAGTAGATGAGGTCCAACTGCCCTGTTGGGGGGTACCAAGTCAGTTGACCTTGTGTCGCTGGCTCTGTGACATTCATGGCTACCACCGGTTCGATCTGTTTGGGCCTACCCAGGAGTTCCGCGGATCTGCAGGGAAAGCCGAACTTGGAGGATTGGATTCCCAGTCGGAATTTCTATCAATTAATGCTTTTGATTCGGATAAAGACGGTGGTTAAAGCTTCATCAATGATATTTGATATTATTTGATATAAGGTGGGAATGGATGGGTGATATTAAATACCCTCCGTTACAGCCTTTTGCGTCAGTAGCAGACGGCATGAGTTTTCAAACCTTTTGGCATGAGTGTCCTCATCTTCACAACACTAGGGTGCGTTCTGCATCCAGTTGCAACACATGTTGCAACACGAGTTAGTCTTTCAGCAAACCTTTTCGGCCCAAAGGCCGCCTCGGCTGTTGCAGTCTTCTCCCGCTGTGCGGGACGCACAGGCGCATGTGCGTCGACACCTTTGGATGCAGCAGCGCCATTGATGGGCTCAGTACCCTGGCCTCGGGGTTTGGGTAATGGGCTGATGGAAGGGAACATGTTATGTTTTGTTTTGCATGTTATTAATTATTGGTCTTAGAGTTCGGCTTTCTTTAGGGGTGACAGGGAGCGTCCTGCGTGCATGCCACGCTGTTCCAAGCCTCTACTACTGCTACTACTACTACTACTCCTGCTACTACTACTACTGCTACTACTACTACTACTTATATTTACTACTTACTACTTACTACTTGTACTTACTACTTACTACTTCCTAACTTGCTTGCTTGCTTGCTTACTTGCTTACTTACTTACTCACTCTCTCACTCACTCACTGACTGACTTACTGACTTACTTACTGACTGACTTACTTACTTACCGTCGTCCGCATCCGTGAAGTTCATCCATGAAGAGCCAAGTGGCCCAAGAGGCCCAAGTGGCCATATCATTTTGTACCCGGATTGCACTTCCTCACTTCCTCTGTAATTACTAACTACCAACTACTTCTGTTTTTCAAGGTTTTTTTTGTTTTAAGGGGGTTAGGCCTTTTGGAGTTGATCTTGAGGATTCGAAGCTACACAGGTGCAGATAGCTGCAGAAACCGTGCAGCGGTGAACCGCCATGGTTTGGTGAGTCACAAAGTGGGGTGCCTATTTGGAGGATAGGGGCTCCATGGGCCCCCCCCGTGATCCACTCACTGGATGGGACGAACAATCACCCCAGCATGTGGTTCCTGGGACAGCCTCCACTTGCAGATTCCATCTGCAGGACAACACATCGACCTGCGACCTGCGACCATGAGAACACTGTAAAAGAACATGGTAGAGAACTGCACCCTTCGATGCATAGAACTCAGCTTTGGAGTGCATTTTACTCAGCTTTGGATTGCATTTTTTTTTTGCCTAACTGGATGTTTGGAGTTTGGACTAGCGGGTGGGCCATCCATTTCTGTGAGACGAAGTGTGAGTAAGAAGAAAGATGGATGTGGAACATATAGTCTTCCTGGAAGACCATTTTCCTTCACGAGGGGGTTGGCGTGGCTTTCAGTGCCATAGTTGTATGAGGGAGTGTAATTATATACTTTGGGTGCCATCGACCATCTTTACTGAAATCTGTGTGTCCCAGGTCATGTCAAGGCACAGACATCACACAAACAACTCAGAAAGGGACTAGTGACTAGTGCTTACCCAAAGACGCCATGATATTCCATAAGGTTGACATATTATACCTATACCCTGAAAAGGCTGATCCGCAGCTCGATCAATTCCAGTCCGACCATCGCGATCCGGAGCGAGGTGCCGATGGGTGGCAGAGGGCATGGTCTTTGCTTCGCCAGTGCCCAGGCAGTTCAGGACGTTGGGTGTGGAAGTGCCTGCCCATTCGGTGGCTCTTAGGGTGGGCAGACCAGCTGCGACCCACAGAAACGGTGGTGATGGATCGCTGGAGCTGGAAGTACATCCGGAAAGTGTAAAAGGACCCCTCCTTTAGCGGGACTTGCACCGCTTCAGCATCGGACCCTTCGGTTGGTGGTGCACAAGTCTTCACCTGCAACCCAAAGGAGAAGAAAAGACAGTGGAATGTCCTTGATCTGAGGTGTATAGGATGTCATGTCATGTGCAGTCCCAAACTAGGATTTCACATGTGTGTGAGATGAAAACCATATTGGCTGTCTTCTATTGGGCAACTAAAAGGACTCAACAGTAACATGCGAGCGGGTAGAACGGTAGAAGTGTTTTGTCAGTGCGTAAGTTTTGTCCGCATGTTGCTGGAAGTTTTGCCTCCACCCAAGGATGCCTCGCTGGAATTTGATGCCGGATGAATTCAGCCTGGCCAGTGCTTTGTCAGATGGAGTGAGGATATCTTGGGGATGTCCTATTAATTACCATCTATTTCCTGTAACAGTCGGTAAACAAGCAAATCGTGATTTTAGAGAAGTCGGCTGCAACCAGGCCCCATCCTCATCTACTGGGCCCAGGGAATAGGATACAGATGGAGTGATGAAATCCTGTCTTTTTTTCCCAATCTAACCCTATACAAGTCCATGACCTCATTTTACTGGAGTTGGTTATACAAAAAACATCAAAAAACACATTAGCAAGCCGACCTGGTTTTTGCTGGGTCAGACTGGACGAGTGTTCGTCGCGTCAGGAGTGCGTCGGCGGCTTCCATCCACCTTCCCAACGTCCCCCCGTTGCCCTTTCGTCGATGGGAATGGGGAACCCCTGGTCGGTCGGACCCTGTCGGTCCAAACCTGGACCTGTTCCTGGAAGAACACCGTAGGATCAAGTCCAGTCAAACGAACGAGGGGCTTATCCAGGTTCTGTTTTAGAGACATCCCGGGAGGAAAGACGTCCAAATCTTCGAGGCGTTTTTGCCCTAAGTCCAAGCTCGTTGACATCATGACTGGACCTGCATCAACATGGCGACCCCCTGCCGGGTGCATTTGTCACAGCAGAATCCACCACATGACTCCACATGACCAGCGCTTTCTGGGTCAATGCTATGGGTTGATCCAGTAGCAACCCAGCAGTAGCAGAGCCAAAGAACCATCCAAACCACAGTCCTGCACTGGCACCCCAAAATCAGCCGCAGATAAGGGAAGCTGGGAAGCTTGCCTACCAGGAGACTTTCCCAGGATCATGCACCCACCCACCAAAACCGTCCCTCCTTTCCAAGGCGCCGCCCAGTGCCTCAGCGGGCAATGGCGGAGGGCTCTAGCGGCGGGCCTGGCGACTTGAATCAAATGAGGGCGGTGGAAGACTGGAAAGCGCCGAGCCGCTGCAAACGCCGAAAGCGATGTCGCACCCCGTGTTCGATGCAGTTGAACCCCGGAACTCGGTGAAGGTGGTTTGGGTGGGTGCCGGGGGGGTGTAACATGGTTTGTGCCCACCTTCTGAGGTTATGGGCCAGGAGCCCTAGGGATGGTGGTTGTATTGCTTTGTGTTTTGCTCATTTGGTGACGTTGAAGGAGCAAGTGGTACAGGACAAGTCAGTCGGATGTTTGTTATTAGTGTTTTTTTCGTGCGCAATCACCGCGGATGATGCATTCGACAAATATGCGTCAGGCGTGGAAGTTGAAAGCAGAGCAGATCCGTTTCTCCCCAGACTATCTATAGGGGGAATATATGCATCTCATTGATCCCTTTTCGACCACCCAAACTGATCAACATACGGTTGATAGGCCAGTCCCATGGATGAGTTGTCCAACAGTCCGGTACGAGTCCATTCGAGGCCTCGAGCTTGCATCGCTTGCGCCGCAGCGAGGCAGAACTGCGGGAGTTGGGTGATGAATGGACATCCCGAATCATCTCTACATCAAGGGCTTTGATTTAGACACCCCATGGCCTCCTGTAGTCAGTGGGTGGAATATTGGTGATCACGCCATTTTACAATTTTTCAACAGCACAGCTGAAACTACAGATGCTGGAGCCAGCATAACCTTAGTGCTAGTGCTGGCAACGGCTGGAAGCTTCACCGTTCAAACAAAAGATCGAACAGGTGGAGTGCAGCAGGGATTCTCGTGGTTCCATTCTGGGTGACTTAGAGAGTATCAAGGAGCATGGCTCAGGAGCGGAGGGGGGGGAGAGGGGGTGAAAAAATGTCTGACCAGGAATTGGTGTTCAAACCGAATTCTGTGCCCCAAACCCAAAAGGCAAGATTGCAATCGTTTGCAGGCTTTTTAGCACACATCGACCAACAACCTGCGGGCTTTTGGGGTCCTATTGCCCTCAGAATCCTCCACACACCCTTCGAAATATGCCTGGCATTTCGAGAACAGCTGCCACATGCTGCCGCGCTGCCTCAGGTGATGTATGGCTCGATGATCCAGAGCTGCGAGCGACTGGGCTCAAGAAGGATGCCGACGGAAACATGTGCCTCTCATCCGAACTCTGCATGTGAAAACACCCACATGAGCCGCAAATTTCACAGGTGTTTTCAAGCTTGTCTCCTGGAGTTGTTTGCATGTGTTCAAGCTTGTCTCCCTCGAAAGAGCCTCCGGCTTTGGCCACTTCCACCAGAGCCACGAGCCGGTCACCCGTTTTTGGTCAGGCTGGCCTCCCTGTGGCGCAGGGCCTTCGCTCTCGGCAGTGGTGACTTGGAGAGAACTCGACCGGTGACACTTCATCCCTTCGAACTAAGGGTCTAGGGTCGACACCTGTGGTATCCGGGGGGCCCTGGTAGTGTGGCACACTCCTTGGAATCGGAAGTAGAAAACAAAGGTCAATCCCAAGAAGCCCATGCCCAAAAGCGTCACCATGATGATGTCCGAGTGTACAATTGTGGGTCAATGTACAATGGGTGCAGACAAGCATGTAGACTCCAGATATCATGTGGATCAGCATGTGATGAACACTTTTGCACCTGGAGTCTCAAATTGTACCCCAACAGAATGGGTCCATATGTGCTCAGCTTCATCCCCAAGCATCGAGCTGTCCAACCTGGAAATGGGGGTCCAAAACCATGGAGCTACCGTGAACTACCTGGAAAGTCAAGTGGATGTCAGTTGTTTCCAAACATGGGTGCATCAAGTAGAAGGTGGCCCAAAACATGGTGTGCACGGACAGGAAGTCATGCTACATGCCCTTCTTTTCGCAGGTTTGTGCCCCTTGAACGAAGACAGACCAAGGAAGTCAAGGGTGGCAAAGATATGCAAAGATGAAACTTTGACTTACGGTGGTTTCAGAGATGGCACTGGCACCCCAAGATGAGGTCCATATAAACCACCCAACTTGGACATCACATATACTCCTAATCCACGACTGATACTCACATCAATGGAATCTCATGGAATATCTTCGTAGCTTCCATTCATGGTCTACGCCGCGCCGTCTACGCTCCATGGTCTACGCCAAAGCTTGGTCTATATTCTCCAGGCAAACTCATGTAAACCCATGACTAGATACACCGTCGAAAACTAACATGGACCCTGAAAACCACAGGTTTGTAGAGGTAAACAGCCTTTCCGGGTCCCATTCCATGTTAGTTTTTGGGAGTGTATACAGGCCATATTTATTAGGGTTCCGTTTTCGTACTGAACCTCAGGTTCAGCACGACTGGACCTGACTGGCTGGCACCTACACAACAGTGTCGAACACATCACCATACCTGAGAAGGTACGACTGGATCCCTAGTCATATATTTACAATCCATTACAATCCCATGTGTGGCGTTGTTCTATACTTTGGGTTTGTCCTAATTCTTGGCCTGTCGCAGTCAGTAAACAAGCATCATAATTGTTGAACGAGGCCTGCCACCTAACCATCATCATCCACAGTTGCTGGCGATAGGATAGACCCAAAATATCCCTTTGTTTACGATCCCATGTGTGGCGTTGGTCTATACATGTCTATACTGTTCTGCCTGCTTGGGACTCGACCACTCCTCAACTTGACGCTGCCTGCCGTGGTTGGAACGTCGCGGAGGCTGCTCCGTGATTGGAATGAGCACTGCGCTGACTGCAGGCGTGTGCCATTCACGTGCTTCGTTGTTCGCCGGGTGTTTTGCTCGGTCAAGATGGCGTCCTCAAAACTCGCTCGACTCTGAGTTATGGTATAGTTTGTATGTGTGTGAATTTTGGTCCTTCAAGCTCTGTTGGTACGTTTGAAGTCAGGTCACCGTGTCACCACCACCGGTCGCGGTCGCGGTCTCAAGGGGCTCAGGAACGGGCGAAACGGAACGCTCCGGAGCGCAGCGGGACCGGACCGATGGAGCTTTGGATGAGTGGTTTGGATGGAGAAGAATTTGTGGCTTGGAGAAGATTTTTTTCACGGTTTGGATGAGTGGGAGATGCATGTAGATATGGTTGATATGGTTGAGTGGTCTACATATGTAGATATGGTGATCAATTAGAATTTAAGATATGGTTGATATTGATATGTGTTGATCGGTCCCAACTGAGCAACTGAGCTGCCAATCAGGACCCAAATCTTTGGGCCTGCAGCAAGCAAGCGCCCACTGAGCGATGTAGACGGGAGGAGATTAGTAGTGTCAAGGACCCACATCTGTGTTTTTGTACCCTCCCTCCAACCCCTAGGGATCCAAGTACCTTCTCAGACGGTGATTGGAGGCACTGTTATGTAGGTATGGAGGGTCCAAGTACCTTCTGAGGAGGTACTTGGATCCCTAGGGAACAAACATGCAAGTACAACATGGCCTCTTTGGACAACTTTGTCCTCGGCTAAGTGTTTTTGGGTTCACACGGGTTTCAGGGAGGATCTGTTTTTGCGGCTCTTTCCGTGTTGGGGAACGTGCTGCTGCCTTTTCTTGCGTCGCCACATGGAAATCCGCACGATCTAGGGACATGGCCAGCAGATGTTTCGACCATGTAGACCCTGTTTGTTTGCTTGTGTTGGGGCTCCTGGCCCATATCCAAAGTCGAAGGTGGTTGGGGTGGATGGTTTTGGGGGGGTTGTCCCTACCTGTTGAGGATGTGAGCCTGAGCCTTAGGGCCATTTTGACCATCACGCTGGCCAAAGGGGTGGTTGTTGGCCTCGGTATAAGTGTGGAACTCCGATCTTTTCCACCTGCGCGTCTCTCCGCCCTTCCTCGAGCCGATGCTCAGCTCCGAGGTGCTCAAGGTGCCCGAGTCTCTCACTGGACATGCGCTGCGCCAGATCATTGCCGATCGTTTCCCTGAAAGAGCGGGTGGTGGTGCACGAGTGTCCATTCAGAGAGGATCCGTGACGTGGGTGCACGTGGGTGACGTGATTGTAGTCGTGGTTGTTTCTTTGTCCCAGTATAGCCGGTGGTTTCCAAGATGATCACGATGTTTGAGGAAGGCCTTTGCTACCCTAGGGATCCACTGCCACCTTCTCAAAAGGCACTTGGATCCAAATCTACAATAAACGTGTCTCCAAGCACCTTCTCAGAGTGCCAAGTGGATCCACTGGGCTAGCCGGCTAGCCATGCCCGGACGTCATGGCAGATGAACCTGGTCTTGGTGGATCGTCAGAACCGATGAAGATTCCCAAGTCTCAATAGGGACATCCCACCGAGGCAGACACTGGTCATGTGGTATTTTCCGCGGAGTTTCACATGAGCTTGACTCATCCCCACACGGGAAAAGAACACACAGACAAGAAGGGAAACCTCGATGAGCCTCGATGTTTGCTATGTTGGATTTATCACAGGCTGTATTGACATGTTTTCACCGAAGGCAGATCTCGGTCCCACCCACTTCTCGACTCTCCGTCTGTGTCCCGTCACAAAAGCATGTCATGCTCTCAAGTGGCCAATTTCGATTCCTTGCTCCTTGCTCTTGGTTGCAATATGTTGCAATCAATCTCTGAAAACCAAGGTGATTCTTTCAGGCAAGACGCTGAAAGAACAAGGTTTGAAAGAAGGAAACGTTGCACCTGGACCTGCGCACTTGTCCTATGTCTTCGAAGCCTCGAACCTGCATGACGCCTGGCGGCTTCTCGCCGCCTTGCCTGTGAGGGACGGTGAAAGGGCAATGGAGGGAAGCTCGGTCTTAGTAAGCAGGTGTTTTTTTTGACATGGTTCAGTTCAGCCTGCAGAGCAATGACAAAGACTTTCGACCAAAATAGATGACAAGGATAAGCCCTGCAGCGGGATCCCTCCAAAGCATTACAGAATGGATTTACCTCTTTAAACAAAACGTTCTTGGAGGGTCTTCGCAGTAGACCAGTAGCCCTGTAGGTAGTGTGTGGCCATCGTTCCTTTCTTCACCAAGGTGTCGTTGAGCTGAAGGGACTTCTACAGGAACAGCTCTCCAGGATCACTCTTCCGAGTAGTTTGCGGGCTTTGTCATTCAGCAAGCATTTCAATGGGAACTTGACGCAAGTCACTTGGCCGGAGCACCTCGACAGCCTGACGTTTGGCCAAGACTTTAACCAGAGGTTGGATCGAATCGTTTGGCCCCGCAAGCTGCGGACACTGAGATTTGGCTGCAAGTTTAATCAACCTTTAGATCAAGCGGCTTGGCCTGGCAGCCTACAGAGCTTAACCTTTGATGACAAGTTCAACCAAAGCTTGGAGAATTTGCCCTGCAGTCTGCTCAGTCTAACTTTTGGCTTTGAGTTCAACCAGCCTCTCAAGGCCATAGTGTGGCCAAGGAACCTTCAGAATCTCACATTTGGCGCCTGCTTTAATCAGTCTTTGGAAGGAGTGGCTTGGCCTGACAGCATACAACGTTTGCGGCTTGGTCACTTCTTTCGTCAGGCATTGGACCGGGTGATTTGGCCGAAGAATCTCCGAAATTTGGAATTGGAAGGCATGGCTCATGACAGTATGAGGGGCGTGGCTTGGCCAGAGCAGGTGGAATGTGCAACCTGCAAGAATTTGAAGGCAGTGACTTGCCTCAAGAACCTTCGGTCTCTGACCTGCGATGTCTACCAGCCCTTAGAGCACGTGATTTGGCCAAGCAGCCTCACCACATTGACATTCATCTTCCACAAGGAGACTCAAGTCTTGGGACAGGTGCATTGGCCCTGGAACCTTCAGAATCTCACAATTGGCGGCTGTTTTAATCAGTCCTTGGAGGGAGTGGCTTGGCCTGACAGCCTTCAGGCGTTGGTTCTGGGCGAGAACTTCAATCAGGCTTTAGATCAAGTGGCTTGGCCCATTGATCTCCGAAATTTGACCTTTGGCGACATGTTCAATCAGAGTTTGACAGGTGTGGCTTGGCCTGAGCAGTTGGAAAGTGTCACGTTCGGTTTTTTCTTCAACCAGACCTTAGAGGGAGTGACTTTGCCCAAGAACCTTCGGAATTTGACTTTTGGGAACTTTTTCAACAAGCCTTTGGAGCGTGTGAATTGGCCCAACAGACTTGAAAGCCTCAAGCTTGGCCTCGATTTCAACCAGCCTTTGGAGCAAGTGGCGTTGCCTGAGAGCCTGGTGCTTCTTCGTCTCGGCTCTTCGTTTAATCATCCTTTGACACCACTCTTGTGGCCTAGCAAGCTTCGGACTTTGAAGCTTGGCAACAAGTTCAACCAGAGTTTGAACGACGTGGATTGGCCAAGCAGCCTAGAGACCTTGACCTTTGGCCATGAGTTTGACCAGAGCTTGGACGGAGTAGAGTGGCCGAGCAGCCTGCAGAGTTTGACCCTTGGAAATGCCTTCAACCAACGTCTTGGAAAAGTGACTTGGCCCAGCAGCCTCCAGAGTTTGGCCTTTGGCACGGCCTTCCAAAGGAGCTTAGAACAGATGACATGGCCTAGCAATTTGCAGACGGTGAGTTTTGGCGTGACCTTCAACCAGGGGTTGCAGAAAGTGGCTTGGCCCAGAAGCCTCCGGAAAATCATCTACACTGATTTGGTGATCAGTGCCGAAGGATGGACCCCATGAGAGCAGCAATTTCGCAAGATTCAGAGGTGGAAGGCGCGAGAGTTAAAAAGTGTTTGTTCGGCGGCGCGGGATCAACTTGACATGTGCGATCACTGGAAGTAACTTGGAAGTGTCATGATTTGTGTAAAGCAATCTTCTTTGAAATTATCAGTTATTGTTTGTTTTATAATAGTCATCCTCACTATCATCATCAAATGCGTGTTGGTTTTGCGCAAGCAATACGTGATCAAAAGATAGACAAGGGGGCACTAGGGGCACCTCTGAGGGGGCTTTGGACAAATAGACTAAGCAGATGGTACCAAGTAGATGGTGCAAAGTAGTTATTTGGACGATATAGTAATCACAAAGTATATTAGGAGTGACACACATTTAACCCAATGGAGTGTGTTGCTACAACGGACTGACGCAGATGCGGACTGACGAGCGTCTCCACGCCGCTCCGAAAGAGCGGAAGGTCGAAGTGGTCAGCGGAAGTGGAACCTCGTCGGTGTCACGGGACTGGTACACCAACGAACTTGCAGTGTGATCCCTGAATGGGACCGCAACTCGGGACATTGTAATATTTTGTATAACACATAATAGCATTTAAACAGCAACATGTTTTAAGGCCATCTCCCAGGCCTAGTTGACCCTTGATTTCTTCGGACCATGACATTTCTGGCGCCCCAAAACTGGACATCATTCAGCATTCGGTGAAACACATCCCATCCGGATCGACCACCCTACACCACTCACGAAACCCTGGTTTTGCTTATTAAGGCGATTGTGGATTCTCCTGTGGTTAAATCAAATCCAAGAAACGGTTTCGCTCGCGTCGGCGGCCAGGCGCACAAGCGGCCCAGTGGCTGGCGTCGTTGCACGGTTTCTCCCAGATGTGCCTGGGACCGGAGAAGGGTTTGGGATTGGATGGATAGCGGCATGGAAGGTGGGTGAGGTGAGAAATGGGTGAGAATCAGTCCTGAAATCAAAAGGATGAGTGGCACAACTGAAGAACTTCAAGAAGACACAGGAACGCTGGTTTGACACCTTCAAGTGCATACGGTTTGCCAGGCTTGGAAGGGCTATCACCTGGGATGTGCGATCTATGAAGCTTAAGTGTCAAAGATGTGCAGGAGAACAGTTCCCAGACCATCCATGCATTGAATAGTTACATACAGTGTTACATGCAGTATGATACACTTACCCCATGCAAATGACCCCAAGGGAATGGCAACTATTCCAGTGCCATTTCTTTGATCTGCGGTTGGAGAAACGGGTGGAGCACCCAGATGTCTTGTCATGTCTCGTCGAGCTGTTTGAAACAAGTCGTTGATGGAGCTGCTGAAGAGAAGCAGGAAGAGAAGAGCGGAGAATCAGCATTTGAGTGCCCCAAACCAGTTTTTTCAACACAAAGGGAGTTACATAAACCCTACAAGTTGCACAAAAACATTTCAAAACTATAGCGAAGTGTAGTGTGGCCTTTTTGACGATCATGTTTCTTCAAGCGATGAATTGTTATTCCTGTGTTGGTTCTTAGATGTCCTTGGGGAGGGTGGATACGGCTGCTGAGTTTCCCTTTTGGAATTGCCTGACAGCGCCCTGAGTACATGGTTTAAACGGTTAAAGGAACGATGTTCATTTTCTCGGAGATGGTGAATCGCCTTCTGGGAAATATGTTGTGTGCGTGTGTGTTTATTTCTTCCCCGGTTCCGAAAGCAAACCGAGGGATGAAGCCAGTCTTTGTTAACCTCCTTGTACATCAAATGTTTCTTCATGTGCAGGGTGTGTTCATGTGTTGGGTCCAAAGCAGCTAATTACAGTATTGGAGAAAGAATTTGATCCAGGTTAGCACTCACCTCCCTCCAAGAATCATGGAAGTGGACAAATGGTCTTCTTGGAACTTATATACTTCATCCATCGAGTCACGATTCTTTTCCCACTTCTATGATTGTAGGATCGGAGGTGGGCAACCCTGCACATGCACTCAACAGTAGCAAAGCAGCACTTGGGCCCCCGGACTTCATCCCGATTGGATTTGAGGAGCGTCTCCCCACAGCAAGACCGATCAAAAGGCATTTGCTACAGGGCCACCTTACCACTCACCTGCTAATTTGAAAAAGCTTTAATGAAGTTCCACATGCTCCTGTCACCATGGGAATTTCAGGAGGGAGCTCAAACGATCCCGCTCCTTTTTCTCACATCATCCAGGAGCAGCGGGTCTATTCAGCTTGATGAGATTTCCTGTGGAGCGACCATCAGCGCCTGTGAGAAGGGCCAAACATGGGCCATGGCCCTGGAGTTACTGAGCCCCTGGGACGGATCGAGGCGATGTAGCGAGGCGGGGGGGTCCAATGGTCCGGTCGAGCCGACCCCCTGAAATCAACCACCCCGAAGGCCTTGGGTTGGTATTCTATCGATGGAGTGTTTGGGGGTTGGTTTTCCAAGGAAGAATCTTGGAGTTGGAGGCATCGACGGAATCTCCGAGTCGCCTTGGAATCACTTCCTCACCAGGTAGTTCGACCCCTCCAAATAGTGAAGGTACCAGTTTGCTGTTGTTATGATCATGTCCTCAACGGCGACGCTGTGTTTTTTTCCAATGAATCAAGGCATGTGAACAAGGCATGAGTGCTTTAATTGGCAGATCCTTAGTGGGGAATCAGGGGTTACCGTATATACCAGTTGCAGCATTCCCAGAAGCGTGGCCAATGGTACTATTCCTTCCCTTTGTGAAACACCAGCCAGCGCACAACCTAGTGATGTATATCAGTATAGAAGCCATTTGACCCACGCTACTACCCACGCTTTTGATAGAAAGTTGGGCCATATTCTAGATGGTTGGCACTCCATGCCACACAGGTCGTTCCAAGTATCATATGCCTTTGCTAGAAGTCCAAAGACTGCACAGTGAGGGGTCCGTTCTTCGTCTTCTGCACAAGGACTCTATCTTGGACATCTGGAGACTTGTAGTCCTTAAGATGTGTCCCTATGGATCCAGTCGTACCTCCTCAGAAGGTATTTGGAGACTATTTATGTAGGCGCTAGGAGGGTCCCAGTACCTTCTGAGAAGGTATGTGGATCCATAGGGTGTGTCAATCAATCGCTGCACTTGGAGTGAGTGAGTTCAGCGGATTCTCAGGTGATGCCTTCACGAAGCGTGCCCCGGCACTGCCCAGACGAGACCGTTCGACGTCAAATACGAACTGCCGAGGCCTTTGGCGCGGGCCGTTAAGCAACAGGAACACCACCTGTTTGGAGCTCATGAGCGTCGTTTTGCCCAGGGGGTGGTTGAACAGAGGTCAACAAATGTAGTGTACGAACAAAGAAAGGTCTTGGGGTTTTCGGGTGGTTGTGTATGTTTTCCGGATTGGGTGAATCCCCTGGAAGATTTGTAGTTTGAGTTTCCCGCGGTTCCTGCAAATTGAATCCCTTGGGATCCACATACAGTACCTTCTCAGAAGATATGACTGGACCCTCCATGCCGTGTCTCCGATCGCCATAGGTGTGTGGATCCATAGGGTATACGTTTCCAGTTCCATGGACGGTCAAAACCAGGATGTCTTGGAGATACAGCAGGTGCTGCATGGAAGATAGCTCCATCATGCTCCATCCTAATGATTCTGGTCAACAGATATGGTTTCCAACTCCATGGTGAAAGATACATCGATGTCAAACATGACGTGGAAGAACGGCATGCACGGCCTGGAAAATTCGAGTTTCAGATCCAGTCCAACAGACTGGAGATCGAGTTGGTTGGAGCGAAACACAGTCCACACCCAATCCTCCTTTTCTGTGCCATTTGGGGCACCATTTGTTTCGGCGCCTTCTCACGTCAAGTCGGGCGCCCGTTCCGGGTCCGTCACCAGACGTGTCGGGTGCGATCCAGCGTCCGTTCGGCCACCCGACGGGAAGTCCGTCAACGGGGCGGTCGTGTGTGGAGGATGTCCGGGACGGTCGTGTGGAGAGGGGATTGTCAGGCTCATACTATTGGCACTTGCCTGGTTTTGCTTAAAGTACTGTTTTATGTTTTATGTTCCTCATGGTTAGATCCCCTTCTGGAGAATATAGTTATTTTTTCCTGGTACTGGTTCCTTAAGCTGCATTGGCATCTCAACAACGCAAGGCATCTGAGCTCAGATGCGAACCCTGTGACATGCTTGGGATCTTGGGAGAGTGCTTTCTTTGTAGAACAGGACCCACGGTCGGAGTGGTTCACAGACATCCCTCGACCTCTAAGAGGCGATTTGTCTAATTAGACACAAGAAAGCGGAGGGTTATAGGCGCTGGGACCTCTCAGCTGAGCGACTCTGAGCTCCCTCGGTGAATCCCTGGTGAATCCCTGCCAAAGGGTCTTGAGTCTTGTCCCATGAGCGCACGGGTCAGGTCTGGGTTCGAGCTAGTACACTCTGACCCACTAACATGGAAGTAGAACATATAGGCAGCGGGAAGACCCTTTTCCTCTACAAACAGGGGGTTTTTAGGTCCATGTGCATGTGATGTGTTCGTGGGGAGTGTACAAGTCCCGGCCACCAAGAATTCGCTCAGCACATTGTCACTTGGAATTCAGCTCCTTGGACTGAGCGGCGTGGGTGGCTGTTGGGTGAAAACATGGCACCAATGCTCGGCTGTGGGTGGCACCCGGAGCGCTTTCCAGACTAGTAGGTTGACCTCCTGTAAGTCGTCTATATGACCCACAGCCAAGCGGATGTGTTTCTCCATGTTCTCCTATTCTCCCTAGAAGGGGCCCAGAAGTCTTGCGGGTTCACATGGTTCACCGAATCTGCTGCACCGGACGTACATCGCGCATATAGGCTACCTGATTTGTTACTTGCCCCAAGAATCCGGGGCCCTTCAATGCAAAGGACTTCTTTCGGGTCCACACTCTTGTGGAGTGTCCAAGACCTTCCATAGCAGGGTCCCAGTATCCTTAGGGTTGGATCCTTAATTTAATCTTCTATTCCCATCATATCCAACCAAATCACCAACTTCCTATTCTTGGCCACCGGTGCTTTGACCAGTTCCAGCACCTCAGGCTGTCAGCAGCTGTGAGCGCTTCAGCCTTTGGTTCAGCTGCTTAGCGCTCTTGTCCTCAGCCAAGGATGCAGGACGCCAGGCGGCGATAGACACGATGACCAGTCCCCCTGGAAATCCACTGCCACCTTCCAAGAGCGCCGGTATGTCCTAGGACCTTCCAAGAGCGCCATATATGTCAAGACAGGTCTCGTGTCCGCACCGAACACGTCAGAGGGATATGTGGATCATGCCCCCTCCCGCACGTTGGGGTCTCGAAAAGTGGCCCCTTTGAGGAAACAGGGGTGTCCATGAAAATCCGCCGATCCAAGTGGGTCCTGGCATATGCATGGTCTTTACTACATTGGCCGGGGGCAGGAACACATACTTGCACGGTTTTGGGGGATGGCCCATGCCCTGAGTGACGCTCACTAAAGTGAATGATTACTTGATGTTACTACTGGTCGTTCAGGATCGCCGCCCTGGAACTGGAACATCGCCTCTTTGCTCACTATCCCTGGTGGAAGTATGTGGAAATAGGCTTGTCCCATGCCCCAGAGAAGGTCAAAAGGTTTGGGAACCAAATCATGTGGAGCACCACCCCCCAACCCCCCCCCCCCCCGTTCAAGCAGTTTCAGCTCGGAGTTCGGAACCTCCGCGCCAGGCGGATGCCATCAGTCGTGCTTCAGTGGCCAGCGCTTGTGGCAAGGGAGGCGGTTTGGATGCCGATGCGACGTCAGGACGAGTGCCATCACCATCCATGTTAGGAGACCCCTGAAGGACGAGACTTGGCCAGAGGGTGGCCAAGAGACTTAGACCCTAGACCTGCCAGGGGGGTGGCCAAGAGACACCACCCCCCTTCAAAACGTTGGCACCCCTGGTTTGGGTCTGGTGTATGGCATGATTCATGATATTTCACGACTAAGGGTGGAGGAGTTTTTTTTGGGGTCCAATAAGCAATGTGGATCTTGAACTCTTACGGATTCCCACATATGGATCGATGTGTATTTCAAGATGGACCTCCCAACCAATGAACTTTGTCAGTCTCCAGTAGGGTCTCCCTATTCGAATTAGTCAAGTCTACACTCCCTAGGGCTCCAAGTACCTCCTTAGAAGGTATTTGGACCCTCTAAACCCACCCCAAACACCTTCTAAGAAGGTCCTTGGAGCCCTAGGGACTGTGTGCTCTGGGCTTCCTGCGTCCGGCAGACCTCCCAGCCGTTCCCGGGTCGGCTTCGGTGGGCTCGCTCGGCCACGGTGCCCGCAGGCCGCTGGCGCTGGGCGCTGCAAGAGGCAGATCTCAGCAGCGAGGCGGGTGCGAGGGCGGTGGAGCAGATGCAGAGTTAGGGGGAGCTGACTGCATGTGTTGCTGCTGTTGTTGTTGCTGACTGCATGTGTTGCTGCTGTTGCTGTTGTTGTTGCTGACTGCATATGAAACAAGTTTTTCATGTAGGCATTTAATACCTTGCTGCAGTCGTAGAAAAGCTGCGTTGGGCTTGAGCGACCTGTTCTAAAGTTGTGCGAGGGCGGTGGAGCAGATGCAGAGTTGGGGGGAGCTGACTGCATGTGTTGCTGCTGTTGTTGTTGCTGACTGCATGTGTTGTTGCTGTTGTTGTTGTTGCTGACTGCATGTGTTGCTGCTGTTGTTGTTGCTGACTGCATGTGTTGCTGCTGTTGCTGTTGTTGTTGTTGTTGTTGTTGTTGCTGACTGCATATGTTGTTGCTGCTGTTGTTGTTGTTGTTGCTGACTGCATGTGTTGCTGCTGTTGCTGTTGTTGTTGCTGACTGCATGTGTTGTTGCTGTTGCTGTTGTTGTTGTTGTTGTTGTTGCTGACTGCATGTGTTGCTGCTGTTGTTGTTGTTGTTGCTGACTGCATGTCTTGCTGCTGTTGTTGTTGCTGACTGCATGTGTTGTTGCTGTTGTTGATGTTGCTGTTATTGTTGCTGACTGCATATGTTGTTGCTGTTGTTATTGTTGCTGACTGCATGTGTTGTTGCAGTTGTTGTTGCTGACTGCATGTGTTGCTGGTGTTGCTGTTGTTGTTGCTGACTGCATATGTTGTTGCTGTTGTTGTTGTTGTTGTTGCTGACTGCATGTGTTGCTGCTGTTGTTGTTGCTGACTGCATGTGTTGCTGCTGTTGCTGTTGTTGTTGTTGTTGCTGCTGACTGCATATGTTGTTGCTGTTGTAGTTGTTGCTGCTGACTGCATGTGTTGTTGCTGTTGTTGTTGCTGACTGCTTGTGTTGCTGCTGTGTTGCTGTTGTTGTTGCTGACTGCATGTGTTGTTGCTGTTGCTGTTGTTGTTGTTGTTGTTGTTGTTGTTGTTGCTGACTGCATGTGTTGCTGCTGTTGCTGTTGTTGTTGCTGACTGCATATGTTGTTGCTGTTGTTGTTGTTGCTGACTGCATGTGTTGTTGCTGTTGCTGTTGTTGTTGCTGATCGCCTGTGTTGTTGCTGTTGCTGCTGTTGTTGTTGTTGCTTACTGCATGTGTTGCTGCTGTTGTTGCTGCTGCTGACTGCATGTGTTGCTGCTACTGTTGTTTTTTGTTGTTGTTGCTGACTGCATGTGTTGCTGCTACTGCTGCTGCTGCTGCTGCTGTTGTTTTTGTTGTTTTTGCTGACTGCATGCGTTGTTGTTGTTGTTGTTGCTGCTGCTGTTGTTGTTGCTGACTGCATGTGTTTTTGTTTCTGTTGTTGTTGTTGCTGATTGTTGTAGCTCCCGGTGCTGTGTGGGATCCTTTGGACCGAGTGGCTTATTTGGAGAAGGTGACCCAGAAGGAGGGAACTTTCCGAAAGCACTTCCCGATGTCATCTCTGTCTTCTTTTGGAGCTTTGTGTGTCCAGATTTCGTTTCTTGGGAGCTCTTTGGAGACAAGCTCGCGACATGGACCTTCCGTGGGAATGTCCAGCCGCTTGCTCTTCGCGCTGTTGACATCTACGGGCCTTTGGCCCTTCTCTTGGGCTGCTGTGTGGTCGAAGTCTTCCTACGAGGCACTGCAGATTTGACAGAATGGTGGATCAGACCGTTTTGGGGGGGAAACCGGGCTAGGGATGGCGTTCGGCAGTGGATTCGTGATTTTGTAGACACACGAGTTTCTGGCGTTACTTCTGCATGGTGCATCTAAATGCACATGACTGTAGGACGGTGTTTTGCGGATGTGGGTTTGGAGGAGGGAGATTTCTTGAAGCCTACGGAGGCCCTGGTGGAGCAGCGATCCTACAAAAGGAGCTGGCAGAGAAGTAGAATGTGAAGCTGACTTCCGGGGTATGTTCCAGTGAATGGAGACGATCTCTTCAAGCACAGAATGCGTCGCGTCGTGGAGCGGCGTGGACTCTCCGTTGAGCGAGCTTTTGGCGATTTTTGGCGTTTTCCTGGCGGCCTTCCTTCTCTATGGGTATATTTGGAGTCTCCAAAGGGAGTGGCCTTTCTGGTCAAGAAGGGAGAAACAGCCCGGGAGAATTCTGCGAGAGGGTTATTGCTGCGACTGTCGAAGAGAAGTGCGGAGGAGTTCTGGTTCATTTGGAGCCTTATGTGAAGGCTGCCACCCTGCTCAAGTCTTTCAGCTGGCTCTTTTCCTCTCTCTGGTCCTTATCGTCCGGGCATGATGTTGGAAGGAGAGTTGACCATGGACGACTCCTCTAGCTTGCCGGAGCTGGTGCAAGAGAAGTTGAGGGATGGTCTTGCCTTGCTCTTTGCTCCGTTGAGAGAGTTCGTACAGAACTTCATGCAGGGGAAGGTCCGCGAGGGCTACGGGATGTGAGAGGATTTCGAGGAGAAGACCTTCATGGACACTTTAAAGGCCGCACGCACGGGAGCTGGCTCTCCGGGGGTCCGAGGCGGGCTTTTGGGAGTTGAGCCCGAAGGATCGTGCGAAGATGGAGGCCTTGGGGCAAGCCATTCTTCCTCCAACCCGTGGTGGGGAGCGACGGAGCAGCTTCGCAGCCTGAAAAGGATGAAGGTCTTCTACATTGACAGTCACTCCAAGCCTGAGATGCTCTTGCGGCCGTCTGTCTTTGGTTGATCCCTTGGGGTTCTCGACCCGATGAGCCCGAGTAGGGCGGTCCTCAACCATTGGAAGATGAGCCCCCCCCAAAAAAAACCTCTGCAGATCAAGGACGCTCAGGATCGTCCTTCGCGGGCCGTCCCTTCCTTCGGGGCCCATGGCATTCGCTGCCCGCGTGGACCTGTGAGCTGGTGGCATCCGCGGCTAAGCTGCGGTTGATTGCAGCTGCACAGCCTACCTCTGCACCTTTGGCGCTGTGCTAATGACTGCATTCACATGCCAAACCACTCACTAAGTCTAAACCTCCTGACGATCGCATTCTTTGGCCTCCTCTTCTTGTTCACTTCATCATGCCAGACCCACACCCCCCAGTCTGCATCATACTTGTACATTTGGCTTTTCTCAAGCCAAATGACAGACTTTCTCAAGCCAGAAGGCTGTTCCAAGCCTTGGATGACTTTCCCAAGCCAAACCAAGGCTTTTCCAAGCCAAGGTAGAGCTTTGGCTTTCCCAAGCCAAAGCAGCAGCAGCTATGGCCCTGGCTACCGACCTACTATGCTGCTGACCTGTGGTTAACTTGGAGTGTTTACTGTGTAGCTGTTATGCTGCTAACTACCTATAATATGGGGTGTAGCTGTTATGCTGTTGTCCAGTGCAGTGTCCATGGGTGTACTATGTGGTGCTGTTGGAGTGTGGTACTGTTGGTTTGTTGAGCTGATGCTGAGTGCAGCCCTCAAGCCAGAAAGGCTGCAGACAAAACACACCATTTTACCTAAAACACACAGCTGCCCAACCTATACACCAGGTTGCCCAACCCTTTAGTGTCTTTTCCAAGACACTGTTTCAACCTATATAGTTGAACACCAAACTCATGCACCAAAACCAAGCCCATGCTCCCATTGCACACATTTCCACCCTTTTTCCTTTCCTTTCACACAAAAACTGCAATCCTGCTTTTGAGGATGCTGAGCTACATATCCTTTTCCAAGGACACTACCTACAAGTTCCTACAGGTCCTTTTCCAAGAACCATGCATGGTACCTTTTCCAAAGCACCATGGGTTCTTTTCCAAGAATAATGATTCTTTCCCAAGAATCCCATTGTTCAGCAGCCATGCTTGTGGCACAGGTCTTCCCTGAGCTGCCTTGCCTCATCCTTTGTCAGCCAATCCTTTTCCAAGGCTGCCTTGATCTTGGAGATCACTCCATGGTACTGGGCGCACCTGGCTGCTGAGCATTCAACAATGAGGTGAAGCTTGCCACCATCTGTGGAGCCTTGCAGGTATGCCCTCTCAGGCTTCTTGGCGCATGTCATCTTCAGCCTTTTCCAAGGCTTCCTGCAAGCCTTTTCCAAGGCTGCAGGCTTCTTGGCCATTGTCTTTGGCCTTTGCCATGGCCTTTGCCTTGGCTTTGGCCTTTCCCTTGGCCTTTGCCTTTGGCTTTTCCAAGCCAATTTTGCAAGTCTTCAGCCTCTGCAAAAAGCCTGTGCCCAGGCCTTTGCTTGCTCACTGGCAGCTTCCCTAGGGAGGGACCTTTTCCAAGACATCACTGCTCTCCCTTGTTGCTTTGCTTTTCCAAGCTTGTTGGTAGGGACCCTGCCTTTTCCAAGACAACCATGGCTGTTTCCTTTGCCCCATCTCCCTTTTCCAAGGGAGGCAGCTCCATGAGCTTTAAGCTATCCAACAACATGGTGTACTCCTGCCTGTTCAGTTTGGCAGCAATGGGGCTCAAACAGCTGGCATCCCTACCAACTTTGCGCACATGAGCCAAAAGGCATGTGAGCCTTTGCAGCTTCAGGTTCACCCACACAGCACCTGAGTGGTTGCTCTTGTTGCGCTCTGGCCTCTCAGTCAGAAGCGACAGCATGGCAGCCCTCAAAAGCTGGCCATGGATCTCTCCAGAGGGTTCCACCCTCACCAGATCCTTCCACAAGGGCATGCAGTGCACCAACCCTTTAGGATCTGGGGCCTGTGTAATGCTGACATGCTCATTCTCCAGAGGGTTCCACCCTCACCAGATCCTTCCACAAGGGCATGCAGTGCACCAACCCTTTAGGATCTGGGGCCTGTGTAATGCTGACATGCTCATACCCACCCAGATCTGAGAGGATCCCCTCATGCTTTTCCAAGCACTTGTAGAGGATCCCTGAATCCACAAAGGGTTTGGCATGGTGCCTGCCCCCACCTCTGCCAGACATCTGGCCTTTTCCAAGACCAACTGGTCTTTTCCAAGACTCTGTATTTATGAGATCTTGTCTTGCTTTCCTATCTCTTGAGCAGCTGGACACACATGCAAAAATCATGTCAGACAGGGTTGTCCAAATCAATAAAAACAATCAACAAGAAAATCAAAAAATCAATAAGAGAACCAATACAAAAATCAATACACGAATCAATAAATAAATCAATAAACAAATCAAGAGAAAATATTGATTCTAATCAATATGAGAAAAATCAATAGCTCAGAATCAATAAATATTGATTCTAATCTAGATACGATGCTCAGGGTAAACAAACAAATTTATATATTCTAATTTTAGCCGAGCTTCTGTGGCAATAGTAGTTTCTTCTTCTAATTTTAAAAGAAGCTTTGCCAGAGCTCTTTGCCGGGCCCGCCAAGAGGGCCATACTTGGCACCATGGTAAACTCTACACTAGTGCACAACTGGGTAACATCCCATCACACTTCTCCACCTCTGGCCAAAGATGGGGAGACGGAAAGAAAGTCATTGACACAAAATAAATCCGAACGACCCCCACCCGGCTCTCCACGGGAAAGTGGTAGGTAATCGAACCTTAGGAACACAGCCAAAATGGCAAAAAGGGAAGTCAACACACTCTCACACGGCTCAAGAGAATTTTCTACTTCACCCCAGTCTCCTCCTTGACCCTCTTGTAGTCGGCGTCGGCAAAAGCATCCTCCGGATGCAGTTTCTTCAGGCCTCCATCACACAGTCCAACCAAGACATGTTGGAAAAATTCATGAAATGTATTCTGAATTGAAGGGCAGCGCAGCTCCTTGAGAGCGTGAGAAGAAGTTGCTGATGTTGATGTTAATGTTGCTGTTGCTGTTGCTGTTGGTGTTGTTGTTGTTGTTGCCGTCGTCAATGTTGTATTTGTTGTTGTTGGTTGTGTTGAATCTTAAGTACCAAATCCATTCTTGTGAGGTTCATACATAACAAAGTTCCCACCACAGTGACATGCAGTGTGGGATGGTTGGTAACTGCCACCAACGTGCTTCTCTATAGGTCTTGGGTTCGCGGAGTTGTTTTTGACCTGCAATTACCAAAATCAAAAATATGTATATATATATATATATATTTATTTAATACTGCCAAGGCCAAGACGTGGATGGACTGGGCCAACACCCCAAGGGTTCCATCATGGTCATTAAGACCTCTTTTGAATGAGTGAATCTTAGTAATTACAGTAAATCAGTGGATGGTCTCAAGTGAAGTGTAGCAGACCCAGAACTGTCCATCACAAGTGAGATCCGAGCACCCTTTCGTTTATTATAACTATGCCGCTCTTCTCCCAAGGACTCCCAGTCCGCGTGTTGATTGGAACCATTTTTAACTACCCACTTCCCTCCCCAGTGGGCACATGGTTCCAGTCGTACTTGCTCAGGTCCTTGCACCGGACCCAAGCCCTCAAATCACCGAAGGATGTCCTACTCTCCGACGAACACATCACCTGGAGATGGAGTTCATATCCCCTGCTTGTAAAACAAGAGGGTCATCCGAAATCGGGACATATGTTTCATTCCCATGTTGATGGTTGAGAGTGTAGCCACAAAAACGGCAGTGTAACATGTAGGAAGTCCTTGCTACTAGTAGCGATGCACCTGTTACTAATAGCGATGCCCTTGTTACTAGTAGCACCCTATACAACTCCAGGGAAGCGATGGCGTGATCTACAATTCGTTGATCTTCGCCTGCGTCCGCGGCTGGGCGCCTTTCGCAGCTCTGCAGCTTTGCCATCAGCAGCCGGCGGACGCAGAAGACGACCCGGCCACGTATGAAGCGCGGTTAGAAAGGGTGGAGAATGGGCGATCAAGCTGGTTTCAAGAGGATATTGCAACAAATAAGATGTGAAAACAAAGTAATATATATATATATCAGACATATTCAGACATATATCAAAACCATACCCCTTTGTTGGTTGTTTGTGCAACGTGTATGTGTTTGTGTGTTTTCTCACGTGTTTCTTTTTCTTAATTCAAGACGTTTGTATAGATTTGGTGTTTTGAGGCCCAGGTTTGCGAGAGTGCTTCAACAACCTCATGTGGTTTTCATGAGACAGCTCTGAATGGTACACCAATGTACACTTCACCCAGTGCGGTCAGTTCTTTCATTGGATGATTTGGATGTTCCAGTTCATATCGTTTCAATTTGCATCTGGTTCCGACCAAAATCATAGGAAGAAGGGTGAAGCATACTGGACCATTGAGGGTGTGATGATGGACGTGCAGGACCAAACGCGACGGTGGGAATCCTATCGAATCCTATCTGCTCAACCTGGCCGTCACCTGATCGTCCGTTCTGACAGTTTTCTGGGACCTCGGGGCAGGGGGGTAACAGGAAGGATTTACCAAAATGCCTCACACTCTGGAATTTGGAATATCATCGCACTGCCCACAGGTTTCAAAAACACATTGTTTGCTTTGGTAGCGCTTCCATGAGTGAGGAATGCCTACTGACCATCTACGAGGCAATGCAAGTTCCTTGGTTTTCGCTTTGAAGGGTCCGCTGCTTTCAGGTTTGAGGCGTTTGCAAGTTGCTTTGCTTGTTAACTCACTCCAAGCTCCTTCGATTCAAACCCTGCAATGAGGAAGTTTTCATCCTTAAATACTTAAACTCAGCTGATTCATAGATCAGATGCCTGGGAGGAAGCAACGCAATCACCCACGAAGCGCCTGACATGGAGCGGCAGGCATGTTCAGCTAGA